AGAATTACCTTTTCGGTTCGGCACGAACAAGAAACTGTAGATAAGCTAAATGACGTTTCGTACCAACCAGACTCGGGAGGTTTGCGAATGCCTAGAAATTCCGTAGGAGAATTGCCCAAGACACCTAGTAGTGTAAATTTACCAAGGAAAGTAGAAGAATCCCCATTTAGTTTACCATGATTTATCTATACTAGTGCCTGATACTGAACGGTCAAAGGGGATTAAATATAGCTACTTCATGAATGAGTAAATCCAACTTGTAATGAAGTGGTTTTTTTCTGATGTTAAAGCCAAATTAAATGTACATGTTTATTTTGAGGTCAAATGCAGTAGTTCTCATCCAGGTGTTGGGTTACCATTGAGAGTTTATCACAAACGGAAAATTAAAAATCTGCAAGGTTTCCCTTTTCAGCCTGGCTAGATATATAATTAATATTAAACTTAGGACTGTATATTGTATATTACATTTTTCAGAAAATTATACGTTCTTTATTTGTATGTGTATAATTAAGTTCATTTCTCAATATTATGTTGATTATATGTTTGCTTTTTTACTGGCCTCAATATAGTTCTTGTTATGTTTATCCTTGGTACTTAGCCCAGTGTTGTTGTAAAATGTATTAATGCTAATAACTGCTAATTAGTTTACTTTGAAAACTTGCTGTGGTAGCTACCGGGAATTGGAGTTCTGAAAACCCCCGCCCCCCGGGGACAAAAGGGGTTGTGACGATATAGCTACTAGAACCCCCCCCCCCCGCGGGCACAGGTGCTGAAGTATAACTTCCTGTTTGTTCACGGACGAAATGGACCATACCTGCAAAAGCAGGACTGCAGAAAAAACCCCTGGGAGTTTCCGGACACAAGGAACTAATTATGTTTCTCTTCGCAGATAACAAAACGAGTGAAATCTTTGTGTAAGAGTTCTTCATGTGATTTTGAGGTGACAGGACGTTCTAAACCACGTCAGTGGTTTCTGTAGAACAATAGTTTTTTTACGCTGTAACTACAGTAAAAAGGACGCTTTTTTGCGTCCAATCTGCGTTAGCGGATATTGTATGATTTAGGGTTGTAATGATCAGTTTATTTTTATGTTTTAATCAAGAAATCTATTTTAGTTTATCAAATAAATAATTTAAAAGACAACCTGTCTTTTTTTCACCCGACACGGGTGTACTGACGTTACAGCGTCATTACCAATGTATCTGTCATTACCAATATATCATTGGTAACTTCCAGAAGCATAGAAGTTTAAGGCACAGAAAATCTGTATATATATATTATATATATATATATATATATATATATATAACTGTATAAATATATTAACAGATGCAGTGAAAAAAATTGCAGTACATATATATTTATACACTTTTTAAATCGATCCCACCAACGGCCGGTAAAATCGCTGAACACTAGAAGTTCGGTCCAAGGTTGGAATCCCGCGAACGGGTTGGTTTCATGGACGTTTTCATGGTTTTCCCCATGTGTTACGTGTATACGAGCTAGTTTTCCTTTGAATGTCCTCCACGAAGGCAACCCTCACTTTAGGCAGATAGCCCTCGAGGCTTTGCCGTAATTACATAAAACCAAAACTAAGGACTTTTTGATCTGAATAAATATACACAAAACTGATGTAATATCTAAAAGTAGACTACATTAAAAAATCTGATAACTAATTATAAATCTTGCATTACAATATTGACAAGAGTTTAACCGAAAATTGTACAGGAATTTAACTTGTTTTATACAGGAGACTCTAGAAACTATTGGAAATTGACATTGATATCGGTACAGTTAAAACTACTTAAATAAATTTTTTAACTCAAAGCAATTTAATGTAAATATTGAATTTAGGATGTTGCATAGTTTGAATTATATACTGCATATTCTTTAATGCATGTCTAATGTATTACATTTTTATACTACTACAAATTAAAATAAAAGTAGAGGGAAATACATTATAATTTAAAACATAAAATTTCAAAATTTATAAATTACTCATCAAAACATGAAATTAAGTACATTGATATATACATTAGTTTAAAAATTACAATTTTAAATTAAAAGTATGCACCCCTTCTTTATATGTGAAATAGGAAAACACCAAATATATTATTTTCACTAAAATTTAATTAAGGCATTGGTAATGTAGAATAAATAAATAATGTAGAATCGTCAGCATCAAATGCGTTATTTCTATAGCGAAATACTCGAGTTTTTCACAGATCTTAAGAAATTAAAATATGTATTACGTACACTTTCAAAAACAATCTGTGACCTCCGCCGTCCTCAGTTTAGCTCTGAAACGAGAGTCAGAAACTTAAACGGCAGCTGTCCAGCTGAAAAATTTCCGACGCGTCGATCTCTGTAATGATCGAGACGATGACACCAGACTCGCTCTCTGTCGAGTAGATCGCAAAAAGCGACCCGTTCTTCTATCTCGACAGTGTCCAGACTAGGGCCCTAATACGAGGAACGTAAACAACCATTAATAAAATATTCGTATTGTTCTCTATCTTTGAGGAAATTTTTAGTACAAATGCATTCGTGCACACAAAATATTTACCGTATATACTCGCGTATAAGTCGATACCGCGTATAAGTCGACCCCCTCACTTCGACATAAAAAATTCGTCGAAAATAAGAAACCCGCGTATAAGTCGACCCCCCACTTCCGAAATCGATCGAGAAACTTCGAAAAATTTTTTTAAGTACTACATTTATTCAAAATCCTCTGAGAAAAATAAGTAAATATACGATAAAAAATACCTTGGTAAATAAATAAAATCAAAATCCTTCAACGTCCGATTCATGGTCAGATTCGCCAAACATTTCATAGAACTCTTCTGTCGTCATTGGCTCGTCATCATACATATTTTCAGTCTCGAACTCTGTATTGTTACAATCACTACTAGAGCCTTCGTCGTCATTTTCACTTTCAAAAACAGCATCATCTTCCGTGCCTTTAGTTCGTTGCTAATACAACATTTTTTAAATGATTTTATAATCATTTCAGAGGGTATTTCGTTCCAAGCATCTTTAACCCACTGAGCAATTAATGTAATATCGGGCTTTTTAATGTTGCCTACCTTTGTAAATGTTGGTCGACTGGAACTAATCCACTCTGCACAATTGGATAATTGGGGAAAAGTGATCGTATATAGTAACCTTCTAGAATTTGTTCCGGAAAAGATTCGCGTACGTAAAATCTATCTGCATTTTCCCTTTTTAAAAGAAATATTCAAAACTGTTCAGTTATTGCGTGGGCTATTTTTTTAAATTTTGACGTGTACGCCTGTTAACAAAAGTATTTCATGAATGAACAATAACTATTATAAAGACTTATACGTACGTAAAAACTATCTGCATTTCTCTTTTTTGGCGTGTTGGTGAAACTTTTTTATTGCTCGATATTGATCGGTTGTTCGGGGGACCGAAAATGTCTTTGGTTTAATCGAAACTTACTCTAGTTAAAGTATGAAACTCTGTGATTAGTTCGTCACATTATTTAAGTCATGAAATTACTTCAAGTAAGTGACTTATTTGATAAGTCTTCCAATTTGAGTGCGGGAAGAAAACAACTGCTTTATATAAAGAAATTTTTGAACTTCCGATTCTTTTAATTTTTTATGGCCCCGCGTATAAGTCGACCCCCCACTTTGAAGTTTTTTTTTTTGTCTAAAATATCTCGACTTATACGCGGGTATATACGGTATTCTGGAATTTTAGTATAATTTTCGATTCAGCATTTTTATGAATTTTGGTGTAATTTCTGTGCTTGGTGTCTTGTTCTTCGATTGTCTTGTGTAATGTGGATTACTAATGTGCCCGGCCTCCCAACGGGATAGTTGTTAGTGTCTCTGATTACGGTACAAAACGGTCCAGGTTTGAATCACGGAGAAGGCAGGGGTGTTGTATATGTATAATATCTTCGCAGCATGAGGGTTAGCCAAAAGTCCGTTCCTGTGGTTTGGTGGTAGGAAAAGAAGCGCGGGAGACACTAGAACAGCTCTCTGGTGTGATCTTCCTTAAAACTGGTGTGGAACTGGGTGAAGTTGTACTGTCATCTAGTATGTGGTGCCCAAGGTTGTCGGCAACTACGGACATAAACTTGTTCTCCTTGCTATGGAAAAAATTCATGGGCTTGTTCTGATTAGGTCAGACTGGTGATGTTAGTCACAACTACAACAACAACATTAATGTGCCTTGAAATTTCCTAATATCCTTTTACCAGTTAAGTTTAATTTTCCATAACCTGGACAGATTGCCTTTATACGTTACGAAGGATTTGAAATGTGCTGCTAGGTGATTTTAATATCTTCGCAAATTTAGACATCTTAATATTTTCTACACTCTTGGACATGTTACTTTTAAAACGGGTTTGAATCTCCGAATCCGAGTATCCCGGTGATACACCACTAGTATCCCACATAGGACAGAGCTTACATTTGCTTACAGTTGTAGTTTTTAAAGCTTATCAGAAAAAGCTGCTTATTTTTCAGTTGCTTTTCTCCTCTGATAGTAACATTTGTCCAGGAGTGCTCGTACTTTTGAATAGTAACTAAGTTTCTCAAACTTAATCTTATTTTATCATCCTTATTAGTCAGCATCTTCAACACATTATAGTAAAATACAACACATGCTTACTGTACACTCTTGAGAGACATTATACACTCTGAGGATACGCAGAATTCGTCCAATTCATTGCTTTCATTTATATATGCACCGGTAGACTAATTGTCGACTTTTCTGTTCCTCTGTCGATTTAAAGTAGGCGCTTAAAATATTTATTAATTTTATTTTCCCCCCTCTCTCTCTAATAGAAATTTAAGACGGACCTTTCCCGTTTTTCTTTTTAGTCCCATCTTTGCTATTTAGCCTTTAAAAAATCGAAATTTTTTCTTCCGGAATGCGAAATTGGCCTCTTTCTTCCACACCTAAACTTGATTTTTCTTGCTGCGGGCAGAAAGACTTAGCGGGTGCAAAACAAGACATCTGCATATTTTGTCTGTCTGTCTGACGAGTATATGTGTAAAGGGATTTACAAACAGTCTTCCGAGTCTGATGCAAAGTAATATGTAATTAAAGCTTATTATCAATTGCAATTTGTGCCTGAGATTATCGTGAGAATTTCTGTATTAAGCACATCGTCAGGGTATGTAAAAGAAAACTAGATTTAATTTTATTTGATTATGGCAGTGTTCATTAATGTTTGTAATTCTTACTTTAAAATAGTTTACCATAAAATACGTTTTAGAGTTGCGTATCACTTATCGTTTTGCTTTTAAATTATATCAAGTAATGTCGGAAATTTGAAAGCGTAATTTCAGCGAACTGGTAAATTAATTTTATGTTTATAGCACACAATACTTACTGTAAAAGTTTACTCTCGGCCGAAATATTATTTGCGGAGCATCACCTTTGTAACTTTTATATGATTTCTGGGCTAAATATTTTTTATTTGACCAGCTTTTATTGTGGGAAACATTTTTATGTGCTCACTTTTAGATATTGTATTTGATTTAGAACATCCAAGATTCCTGAGTAATGATGTTTCTAATTTCTAACCCAAAGCATAGTTACTATTTGCCAAAATCATTAGCTGCCTATTTCATCAGTAACATACGTGTATTTAATTGTAAAGTGCTGCACAAAAACTGCTTTTAAAATAATTTACTGCTTTCTTTGGCGATTATTTCATTGATAGTATGAATTACAGGTAACTTGAAATGGAAATCGAGGCATAAAAAATATGCTTTATTTAGTACAATTGTTATTAATATTTACATTCCATTGCTTCATTTTTATTGTAAAATAGTTTCTTTAGAAATGCAATTTTACTATGTTAATTGTTGCCTGTATACATTAAATGAATTAAATTAAGCTGGGAATTCGAATTAGTGATCATTTTCAGATCAAAGGTATCCCGATAATAATTTTATACTGCTGAGCCTTTTTACTTGCTTGGATATATATTAACTTGAAATCAAAATTACAAGACTTTGGTTTAACTTTACTTTGGCATCTTTCTGTTCCACTATACCTTGGTATTTGTTTATTTTTTAAAGCTTTGTAAGAGACTGGGATTTAATTGAAACAGCCTTCTGATTATATTATATAGTCACTTATGGCTTTGGGAAACTGCTTAAAAGATTTGGAAATAGATTTTGGCCTGATCAGATATCAAATGTAATCAAAATCTTGTTTTTTGTTTTCAGATGATGATAAACTCTTAAGTGAATAAAAGTATTTATTATATGTTTCATTATTTTAATAGTTCAAAATATTATCTGTGGTATCTGCACAGTAAATAAAGAGTCATACTGTTATATATTAATTGTATGTTATCCGGCCCTCTCGATTAAGAATATGATTCTCATTTCATGAAAAAATTTACTCTAGTAGAGTACAGTACCCCTTGGCACAGAAGCGTAGCTGCGCCCCTTTCTGTGTTCCAAGAATGGAAAACATTTCAGCTAATCTTTACTGTGTGGTAACCCTTGATTTTTGTCTGAAACAATCGCCAAGCGGTATTGGTTGTTTGTGAAATTTGGAAGCCTGCTACACTTTTTTGTAACAGTGACCCTTTCGTATGGACCCAAGTTTTTAGTTCTTACTATTCTTTTCAGTCGCTGTGTTTGCTTGCATGTGTGTGGTATGGTCTTGGATTTTGAACTTGCTATTATTTTGCTGTGGGTACCATCATTTGAGTATGTCTGTGGTGAGTAAGAGAATGAATGCTGATTAACAGTGGATGAGCTCAAACAACGAAAAATTTATCTCAATTGCTTGCCTCGAGGATGGAGGAGATGGCAGTGGGAAGTCTAAACGTACAGGTGAAAAAAAGTGTGGCTAATCTTTAGAATATGGTAACAGGTAGTTTGGCGACATTTTGATAAGGCGATAAAGGTTACTAGCTAGGACTTTAGTTTGAGAAGTACACAGTTCAAATCACAGATTATTTTGTCTCAGAGAAATGAGAGATTGAGACATGTAATGTGACATTTTCCGGAAAATTCTGATCGTGATTTTAGCTAATAAGCACTTAGAAACAATTTCACTGCTAAAGTGCAGAATCGCCCACTTATTTGTTTGGCGCTTTTTACAAGAGTAAGAAGAATTGGATTTTTGTCAATTTTCTTTGACTTTTTAAGTGGAAATAGGTCAATGTGTACATAGATAAAGTCAAGAGTGTGCGCAATGCCATTTTTGTGCAATTCTGGGATTTTTTTTAAGGGAAAATAGGTCGACGTGTACATGGATACTGTGTATGTGCAATTCTTAAAAACGCGCCAAGTAGGCACTCTCAATTTCGCACCTAATCTTCATCATAATTAAGCACTTTGTTCTAGTATAAGTGTAATTCGGCTAGCAGATTGTTGGAAAAAATGTTGAGTAAAAAAAAAAAAAAAAATGCTTTTACTTTGTGAAAACAAAATGGCGTCCAAAACAAAACTAGCAGGTTGCTGTAGCAGGGTTGGTCGCCAAAAAATTGCCAAGTTACCGTAATGTAAAGATTCACTAAAAGTATGTTTAAAAATTGACATTTCATTTATTTATTCACCTCTGTGTGTTTAATTTTTGTTGAGAGATTTGTTGTTTAATGTTTTTAATGTCAGGAAATATGTATTTTTGGTTATTTATCCCTCTCTATTTGTGTATTTTTGGTTATTTGTTTGCCTCTGTCTATTAAGACAGCGGGAATTTTTTTCTGGTTACCATGATAGTTTTAACTTTGTTTTAGCTTTCTGATTTTGTATAGGTGAAAATAAATTGATGTGTACATGGACAAAGTTAAGGCAGTATGCAATGCCTAGTTTGTGCAATTCTCTAATATTTTTTTTTACTGAAAATAGATTGATGTGTACATGAACACCGAGTAAGTGCAAGTCTTCGACTTCTTATTTTGGTTTTGTGTAGCAGCCATCTTGAAATTGCCACTGATCCTTCCTGGCCCCGATCTTGGCATAAAAAAAGAAACGATTTGCCAAGGCAGTGGCGTAGCTAGAGTGGGGCAAGGGGGGACATCCGTCCCTAGGCGCAGCATCCAGGGAGGCACCAAATTGATGATACACATTTCAGAATGAAATGTTGGCTAATCTTTGGAATATGGTAACAGGTAGTTTGGCGACATTTTGGTAAGGCGATAAAGGTTACTAGCTAGGACTTTAGCAGTGTACATAGATATAATTAAGAGTGTGCGCAATGACATTTTTGTGCAATTCTGGAATTTTTTTTAAGTGAAAAAAGGTCGGTGTTCTGGGATTTTTGGAAAAAAAAAGTCGACTGTAGTCAGGGACATAAGCACTTTGTTCCATAAAAGTTCTAGCATAAGGGTAATTCGGCTAGCAGATTGTTGGAAAAAAATGTTGGAAATGTTGAGTAAAAAAAAAAAAAAAAAAAAAAAACATGCCTGTACTTCATGAAAACAAAATGGCGTCCAAACAAAAACTAGCATGTTTCTGTAGCAGGGTTGGTCGCCAAATTTTTGCCGAAAAATCGCCAAGTTACCATAATCCAAAGATTAACCGTGTTTTATATTATATGATCTCTATTTAAAATAAAGTAATTAAAGAGCCTATGACTTTATATTCTGGCTTTGCAGAATAATTCTTACATCGTCTGTGCCCAAAAACGTAGCCATTGTATCACCATCTAGCCCTTGTATGGCCATGTGACATCTATTCTTAAATTCTTCAGTAAGTGCTGAATAATCTGAGGGTAAAGGCCATACACCTGCTTACGTCAGATAAATGCCCCCCATCATCCTCTCTCTTCTGTATCTCTAAAAGGCATTATATAGGGTTATAAAACTTCAGTTTCAAAATCTGCAGGCAGATACAGAACTTGTTTAGCTGTATCGCTTATTATGAGGATAGGGAAAAACAAACTATTGACTGACTTGCATGATGGATTTCCATATGTTAAGCCTTTTATATGCAGTTTGTCACAATACTAAAGTTCCAATTATGGTTGCAAGCTTTAAGCACAACTAGCTGGCAGACAACTTCCTGTTTTAAATAACATGAAAAGTAGTAGTTTTTATTTGATGATTGGCTCAAGTTTCTAGTTTAACCTTTACTTCATTAGAATATTAGGTATGACAATTAAAGATAATATTTATAAAGTAGCAACAAATATGATCACTGGATGAAAGCAATCATGCTACTCAAAAAAGGGCATCAACAGATTCAAATTAACAGTGATAAGCAGTTTACAAAATGATTACTGTAATAATAGTATAAAAGGTGTAGACCTTCAAATAACTTAATGAGCTGTTTTTGTTTCCTCATAAGAGTACAGATATAAATTGTTCAGTAGAAGCCCAACTAACTGGATAGCTCAAGTAACTGGAATATTTTAGAATTAAAAGAAAAATTTTTCCCTAAAAAGTTTGGTCAATCAGAGATTTTCAATCCCATTGTAGAGCGTGTTATACTATATGATTAACTCGCATATCTTGTTGTCAAAGGAGTGTAATTTGGAGCCAATAATGGATAAGTGTGACTTCTCAACACAATCATGAAAAGTTCATTTTGGTTTAATGTAAGTTCGATTAATTCTCGATAAGCCAGTTTAATTTTTGTAAAGAAATTCTATTTTTCTCTGTATTTTGGAAAAATTATTCATATTTCAGATAGCAAGAAGTAGAATATCTTCAAAGTTATAAGATCCAGGCATAAGGAAAAGCCGCAATAGATGACTTTGAAAATGGACAAAAAAATAGCAATATAATGAGAAATGTTATGATAAGCAATAAGTTTGTCATACACTATATCCATAATTTGTGTCTCTTTATTATCAAACTAAATAAAGAAAGATTCATTTGTTTAAACCTCTACTGGAATATTTTACTAATCCCTGCCAAATTTCACATTTCGTAGGATTTCATAATGGGATTAGGTGTTTCACTTTCTTGTTTAAGGATTATGAAATACATTGCCTTTTATGTCTGAAATGCTTTTCTTTTCTCAAAATCTTATATTACTTTAAATGTGGACTTTTGATATTCGTGCTGGTAACAAATAGGATGATTGTTTGTATAATTTTAAAATAAAATGTTTTCCAATTCATTTGGCTTCACTAATGCAAATTCCATTTTTTATGTGCTTAACTATCTGGAATTCAGCATTTCTTGAGCTTTCTGCACTGTCAAGCTTTTACTGTATTATTTAACATTTTAATGAATTATTTTTTGATGATGTAGAAATTGTTTTGAAGCAATCAGCCATCTTACCATTTATGTAATTTTCAGCTCGCCTTCTGAATTACTGACAGCTCTTTACCATAGAGATTCTTTTAAATGATATTTTAGTATCATAAAAATATTTTCACTACACAGAAAATAAACCCTGAGCAAAAGTTCACAGTGAAGCTTACTTTTTGCAAAGCATTTATCCTGTTTTTGTGGTGATATGCCATTATTTGTATTGTTACGAATTTATATTTAGATAGCTAATATTAATAGAGTTATAATTAAAATTATTGTATTTCTCTGTGCAATGCGGCATGAGACAAATTTTAAGAGAAAGCTATGCCGGAAAAGAAAAAATACAGGAGCACATGCTTTGAACTTTGAGTAAATGGCTATCTTGGTAATTTGTATCAAGAATTGTATTGAAATTGAATAAATGTAATGACCACTATGTTGTAACTGTAATTTCAACCTCTTATTCCTTTCCAGAAATCTCAAGAAGCAGAAATTACAAAAAAAATTTTTGCGACTAGTTGAAAATTATAAAAGGCCAAAGAGAGAGCATCTCAATTCAGTTGCTTACTTAGCTGCTGTTGTTATTGTTGTGAGTTCAGCTCGAGATCAGATTAGCTCTTTAAATGTGCTGTGCATTGTGTTCTATTTAACATATTTAGTATTTAGAAGTGTAACTACTGATTATTATTGATGCAGAATGGAAGCAGTTGAAAATAAAGTTGGGCAAATTGAAGAAAAAGCTTCTTCTGTCAAAGAACAAATAGAAGAGAGAGTTTCTGCCATGCAACAAGAAATTCATGACAGGGTCTCTGGGGTGGCAGACAAAGTTGATACCTTAAAGAAATTTGTACTGATGACAGTGAGCAATTCTGATGGTTTTAAATATTTACCCATGCCTGCTCGTCCCTCTTTGAAGTTATCCAGATATGATGGGAAGACTTCTTGGCAAATAATACAATACAAAGTCTGTAATCTGGACGTCCATCATCAGGAGTGATCTATTATTCGGACCTCAAAGCCACAAACATTTTTCAAAAAAGCTGCTTTACGCGTGCATGTAATGCGTGTGATGCACGTTTCCGATAGTGAAGAAAGTGACAGAGAGGTTATTGAAAACGAAAAAATTTTGATTGATAAGTTAGCCGGTATTCTCGACACAGCAATTTCAGGACTTGAGCAGTGGAACTTTGTAACTGAACAAGAAATTATGTGTGTTTATAGAATTAAAGAGAAAGTATTAGCACAAAAAACGAAGCAACTTAAACAAGCAGCAGCTTTTAAAAGGTACAAAGTGTTGCAGAAAAAAAATCCTCAAAAGAATTACTAAATTTATTACATATAGGAGCTCCTGGGGCCTAACAGTGGGGTTTAATTGTAAAAAATGTCTATAGTTTTCTCTTTCCATTTTCACATCTTTTTCTTTGACTGTAAAAGAAAGTTTAAATAAATAAATATCTAAGCATTCCACTAGTGAATTCTATTGTTTTTTCCCCTTGTAAGTAAATAATCTCTGTAGTAGAATGAGAAAAGTTATCGACAAACATTTAAAGAAGAATGATGGGTTAAGATAAAGTTGTTTGTCTCATAAAAAAAAAAAAAAATAATAATAATACTGTTTCTTCGTATTTCTCATTGCAAATTTGTTTTAAACTGAAGTTTGGGGGAATGTTTGCAAAAGTCACTAAAAGAGCAAAAAATTATGAAAGCAATTAAATGTATGAAATGAAGCTACTTTTTTTTTTTTTTTTTTTTTGTGCTAAAGCCTATAACTTATAAAATAAGTTTAGTCAAGGACAAAATTATTAATCAAATCAGGATTATCCCTCTTATGACTGCAATAACCAGCACTTTTCCCCCCTTTACCTATACAATTATTTGTTCTGTATTACAAAATGGAAAATATGTTATTAATGGCTTTACACTGGTGTGCAAAAATTAAGGACGAGACGGTTTTTTCAATATAACTTTGTACAAAAGCTTTCCAAATCAACACATTTAATACCGTAAGATCCCCAATACGTAAGGACATGAGTAATGTAAGCAACACTTACTAAAAGAGAAATCAGAGGGATAAAAAGAAGCTTTATTGAAAAAGTAGCATGGAGTGCAATGTGACTGAAGGCCGAAACATCCCTGTGATGGGTGTGCAGCAAGAAACATTCGGTCTTTAACAGGGGATATGATCTCCCCTGACTGCTAGGCAGGTTTCACAGCGTCTGCCCATGCTGAGAATGAGGGTGTCAATGAGTTGTTGAGGCATTGCTGCCCATTCGTCTTGCAGTGCCAATCGAAGCTCCTGAATCGTTACTGGTGGTAAGGTACGAGCTGCCAAGTGTCTGCCTAGAAAATCCCATACGTGCTCGATGGGATTGAGATCCGGAGATCGTGCCGGCCAATCCATACGTTCAATATCCTCACTCTCTAAGACCTGTTTGCAGCTACTGTGCGATGACATGGTGCATTGTCATCCATGAAAAGGAACTGCGGACCCATAGCGCCTCTGAAAAGACGCACGTATGGAAGAAGAATCTCGTTACAATAATGGGTCCCGTTGACTGAACCTGCGTCGAAGATGTGAAGGTCTGTACAACTACCAAGCATGATGCCTCCCCAAACGAGAACACCGCCACCTCCATACCTGTCTCTTTCAATGATGTTCGAGGAATGATTGCGGCTTCCCCGCTCTCTCCAGATGAGTATGCGATGAGAATCGCTATTCAGACTGAATCTCCTCTCATCTGTAAAGAGTACTCGTCCCCATTCATTGTCTATCCAATTCCGGTGTTCCCAGCACCACAGAGAACGCCTTCTCAGATGGGCAGGCGTTAGAGGTACACACCGTACAGGGCGTCGGGCAAACAGACCACCACCGTGCAGTCTTCTGGCCACGGTAAAACGCGATATCGGTTGTCCAGTCGTGTGTCTAGCGATTTCTCCTGCTGTCTGCTGCCTGTTTCTTCTGGCCTGTAAGGCAATATACAGCTCATCTGCAGGTGTGGTTCCTCGTGGACGACCACTACTAAACCCCCGGATAGCTGTTCCTGTAGTTTGAAATTGTCTCCAAAGTCGTGAAACGATGCTGTGAGCAATTCCGAACTCTGCAGCCACACTTGTCACACTGCGGCCTTCCTCCAACTTCCCAATGATTCGACCTCGGGTAAAAGCATCCAGATGTCGTCTAACAGATTGATTATTCGCCATTTCTCGCTGAGGCAGCAACTCGGTGTGATTTTAACTGTTATACGGCATGCAATCTCTTTGCCAAAAATACTGATCTTACACCGACAACATGCGTTATACTACTCAGACACTCCCCCATTATGTCTACCTGCATATCTGTGCATGCCGTACATCACCTTACTTCCTTATCTCCTGATTGGTCTTTCTGTCCGCTCTGCCTCTTCGTTCAGCTGATATGCTAATTTTTTGACTTCGTCCTTAATTTTTGCACACCAGTGTACTTTGATTCCTTTTGTTTTGATTTGAAAATAAAATTTATGAAGTAATTAGAATTATTTAAATCTTGTGCAATTAAAATCCTATACCAGCTTTTTTCTGTATGTTTTTTATTTCAGTTTTATGTGTTATTTTTATCACGAAAAAATTTTAAAAATGTGATGAACTATTGCTATTAATAGTATTATTTCTTTTTCAGGAACAGGGCAAAAGTTTTTGAAATGAAAAATTTTAAATATATGAACACTCATAATGCTTCCTGTTGTATTAATCTGCAAAAATGGAACTAAAAAACACCTGCATAAGTGTAAATATGAGTGGTAGGACTGGTAAAATTACTTTTATTCCTTCATTTTCTTGCAGCTTTTGATTATGTATCTTATATCAAGTGATGGCTGATTTGAAAGACGTGAATGAAAATGCCAGTGAAAGCAATATTAATTATGAAACTGTTTATCATTCCATGGTAGAGTCTGTTGCAAACAATGAAGATACAGAAAAAGTTCCTTCTTGTGATAATGATTTTAAAATTTTTAATTTAAATGATCAGTCATGCAATCCACCATTCTCAGAACAGATCAATTCCATACATTCGACATCTCTGCAAACTGTCAGATGTCAAGCTGAGTCTCTTCATGTGATCAGTAATCTGCCAAATACTAACTCTGAAGAAACATGTGTCACATCTTTCCATTCATGTTGTAATGAAAATACTCAGTTATCTAATGGACAGACTTCAGTTAATTCTAATGATGTTTCACCCAAATTAAAAGCAGATTCAGAGAGTGAAAATAACCTTAGCTGTTCTGATCTGGTTATAAGCACATATAGTGATGAGGAAATCTCGCCAGAAAAGGATGTAAAGGAGGATTTCAGTTTAGAATCTGGAGACCTAGTGTAAGTCTTTCTGAATAAAATAAAAATTAAACAGATCTTTTATGCATTTCTAAATCATATATCTTAATGATTTTTAAAAGTTATATTGTTTAAGCAACATCTACTTCAAAAAGAAACATTGATAATTAATGCATAAAAATTATTAAAGGAAATTTTATCATAGCAAGCACCACCACATTCTCCAAAATCATAACATTTTCTACTGATCCCAGTTATATTAACTCAAGAATCCAGATATATGAATCAAGAAAAACATTAATGTTTTCAAAGTGTTAAGACTTAAAATTTAACTTTTATAAACTAATATCATCAATATATCATGATTTGTTTTTGTACAATATATATTTATGCATGAATATTTATGAGTTGTAACAAAAATTTAAATTTAAAACTTTTCCTTGGTTTATTTTACTATTATTATTATTATTTCATATACATACATACACACACATATATGTATATAATGAAAAAATACAGGGCAAAAAGCAGTTTAAAACCCAATGCAGTTGCACTCTGAAAACACTAGCAAGTAGTGGTAATAATGCAAAATAAATTAAAAATAATAGATTTAAAATTTGTCCCATATTCACCTTTGGAATAAACATATGCAGTGTCAGAAACGCAGTAGCAAACTTCAAGAGAAAATATGCCTAATCCAGAAAGGAAATAAATTTACATTTTTCACGGCATCATCATCAGGGTGTGGGTGCACTGAAAGAAGTAAATAAATGAGCCTGTTTCTGTTTTGTGTATTTACGACACAAAATTCAAAACAAAAAAAAAAAAAAAGTTATCTGTGTCTTTATCTGTCCAGTGCCTGCAGGCCGAAGTAAGCAGTGCAAACGATTGCAGAGTTAAGCATAAAGAAATTGAAAAAAGCATAAAAATGTTATTTAGAACAGGTAGAGTCACTCCTTCCCCAAAAATTTGCAAATACAAGCAATCTAATATATGCAAAAATAAAAACATATGCAGATTTTGAAACCCCACAAGTCAGGTTAAACACTAAAAAATTTAAAGCATCAAAATCATAAAAAAGCATAGAAATCTAATAATAATAATTTTCAGTTTAAGCTGAGTTGAAAAAAAAGAAGTAAAACAAGTAGTCTAACGTATGAAAAATTCATAAATGAAAATTTGATTCAAAAACCATAAAATAAACAAAAAATAAAATCTAACATTAGAATCACAAAAGTTTATGAATGAAAGAATATTTTTCACTTGTTTAGTAGCTAAGCCTATAATATGCTAAATAATGAATATAGGTGAAATACAAATTTAAAACAACACATTTTTTGATTAATATTAATAAAAATATTAGAAAAATCTCCATTATAACATTAAAAATGAATAATTATAAAAGGAAAAAATGTTGAATTTCCTCTGGTAAAAAAGAAATCTAAAAGTATTTGCCATAAAGTTGAGTGCAATGCATGGAAAAAGTTGTGTTTGGTTCAATGAATGGAATGCGTAATAGTGATTAATACGGAAATAATTTTAAAAGTCAACAATCGAGAAAGGTGTAGTGCATTGTGAAAAAAGTATTTTTGAAGAAGTGAAAAAATTGTGAAGCATTAGTAATTGTGATAAATGTAGAGCAGTGTCTAAACTGTGAACAATTTTTAGAGTATATGAAAGAGGAATTTACCAATAATATTATAAATTATAGGTAACCTAAAAGAGGACAAAGGCAGGAAAAAAAGCTGTCATATATATATATTAATTATTCATTCTTACATGCAAGTATAGTTATATGTTCATTCAAAATATTATACTGTCAAAAGTCTTTAATTCGGACTCGTCGGGACTTCGGTGATTCCAGATTATAGATCATCAGTTTAAATCTGGTAAGATGGCATGCAGAAATTATAAAATTAAAAATGTGAAACCATAATTTATGAAATAAAGAGCAATTATGATTTAAAGGGTATAAAAATTTACAGAAAAAAAGCTTTATATTTATTTGTTTACTTTATTAAACATTTCTTTCAACGCGTGCAAGTGTAAAGCATACATTATGTGTAGTCGAAATTAGAAAATTGCTACCAGAAAACTATTTGTTGTGTGTTCGTGATATTTATAATGATGAGGAATTTGATTTAAATCATATCAAAGACAGAGTATATCGAGATGAAATACTACATTTAGTAAGGAATTATAAGCCGAATAAAATAAAAACATCTGCCCTGAAGATAAGGATAGTGCTGACAGATCAACTTCCAGTTTATTGCGTGCCGCGTCCCCCTGTAGAGCAGCGTGAAATTTATAAACATATTTCGGAATGATTAGAGAATTAAAGGATGTGCCTTAATCCATTTTTTCAGCAATTCCACTTTTTGTTTGATGGACATCGAACATGCTTTCGCTTTGTGTAGATCCTTTGGTAGCTCCAGAATCGGAAATTCTTTTTGACATAATCGAAAGTTCAAGTTACTTTTATAAAATTGCTCTAACAGTCTGGGGGAAAAAAAAAAAAATGCCGGATACAATTTGAAGATTAAGGAACAACGCAATCTGCAACATTAACTGAAATAGATAATTTGATAATTTTAGCTTAGCTTATACCGTCCGTTATACATTAAATGTGTTATGCGCATGCGTCGACGCATGCACAGACTGTTTGTGGCTTTGAGGTCCGGATTATAGATCATTCCGAATTATGGACGTCCGGATTAAAGACTTTTGACTGTATAAAGAACTAAGTACTTTATTATTCATAGTAAACTGTAAAATGAATCTTTTTTTTTATTAAAGTGTATAATATTTATATATATATTAGATTTCTTTTTTACATTCTGTCCATCTGATTTCTTTGAAGAGAGTTTGGATCTTTTTTTTTTTAAGGTTAAACGACTGTATATTTAAGATACAATAACACGCTAAATAAATATTAATTTAGGAGTCAAACAATAAAAATCAGTGTTCGAAAATATAATACTGATTTTTGTTGTTTGACTTCTAAATTAACTGAACATTTATTTTGATTATTGAATCTTGAATTAGATAATTAGTAAGATTCCTTATTAAACTAGCTGTAGAAGGTATATTTTCAAATATATATTGTTCTTAATGCATGAGTAAGTAAAAAGCATTTTTTGTACTAAATAGGATTTGTCACATTATAATTTAGTGTAATTTTTAAATGTATTTAAAAAAAAAAAAATTGACTGTAAAATCATTTTCTGGAAGAGAGCACAATTTTTGTACCCAAACTCACCTGTTTCATCAAAATTCTACAAAATTATAGGGACCTTAAAGGATATTGTGAAGTATGAGCATGCAACTCTCAAACATAAGCAAGAAAATTTAGACTAAAGCTTCAACTACTGTTTATGCTAGTTTCTTGCAGTAGGACATTTCTTGACAGGTTTGTAATATAACAATGATACAGACCTTGGTCTTCTTAGTTCAGATCTTTATTTTTGAACTGTTATTTTTATCAGTATTGTTAATTATTTTGAATTTTTTATTTTGTAAACAAAAAATTCATATATATTTTTATTAAGCAATAAAAATATGTAGTATAAATATTTTTTAAAGTATAATTTTTTATTCATTTTTTTTTGAACTTACTGTATTTTACCACAAATTTATTTACAACTTATAGGACATCATTCATAAAAAACATTCAAAACACAAAATGCTTCAGTACTGGCATACTGAATATACGAGGGCTATCCAGAAAGTAGATTACGTTTTGGAATAAAAAAATAAACAAAGTAGAGGAAACAAATTTTATTATATACAGATGAAAGCCACACTCAAATACTACTTTTCTACATAGTCACCATACAAATTAAGGCATTTATCGTAGCGATGTACGAGCTTGGAAATTCCTTCGTCGAAAAATTCGGCCGCCTGCGCCTTCATCCACTTCGTTACCTCTTCTTGCCTTCCATCTTGCACAAAACTTGTGGTAACCAAGCTTTTCGCTGATGATTTCGTGCAACAAACTTCGCGAAATTTGTGGAAAACTCAAAGAAAGTTCCGTTATTGTGAAATTTCGATTTTCAAGGACTTTAGCATCGACTTTTTCGAGAAGTTCGGCGGTCACTATGCTGGGTCTCCCACTTCGATCTTCGTCGTGAACATTGGTTCGGCCATTTTGAAATCTTATGACCCACTGACGCACTCCACCTTCAGTGATAATGTTGTCCCCATACACTTCACGAAGCTGCCGATAGATTTCTATCGGTTTACAGTTTTTTGCAGTCAGAAACCTTATTACTGAGCGCACCTCGCAGCTCGCGGGATTTTCAATTAACGCAGACATTTCAAACCGTCACAGTATCTGAACGGAGCACAGCACGAACCTCTCACTAGCACGGCTAGATGCAGACTGAGCTGCGCAACGCTCTGACCCCAAGATGGCCGCGCTAGCCCCGCCCCTAGCGGACACAGACGGAAACGTAATCTACTTCCTGGATGGCCCTCGTATGATGACTTGCTAATAATTTGAATACAGTAAGACCCCGCTGAACACTGTTTCGGTTTAGCGCTCTTTTATTTCAACCCGGGGATTCCACGAAATCGCTCGCAGCATACGGGGATTCCCCGAAATATTATGCAGCGATAGGTTTCAAATACATATCCGAAAGAGTGTACTTGTATTTCTTGTTTGGTGCGGTATTGTACAGACATATTTTGAAGGGGTAAATGTGGAAGATGTCGAAGAAATAATTCAAGAAGCAGCGGCTAGTCTTTCTAATGATGAGCTCAAGGAATTAACTGAACAAGAAGAAAACAAAAATGTTGACAGCAGTGATTCAGAAGAAGAGCAAAAAGAACTTTCGATGGCGTTTGTAAAAAGGAGTTTGTCTACTATAACCGAAATAATGGATCAATTCATTGAAAAATGATCCGAATTTTGACAGGAGCTCAAAAGTAAGGCGTGGTGTTAGAGATGCTCTATCCGTTTATGAAGAACTTTTAAGAGAACAACGCAAAAGAAAAAGGCAAACAACATTAGATGCTTTTGTCACAAAAAGGCAGAACACTGAAAACGCGGAAGGCTAACTAAATATGACTGACTTAGAATTTTATTTGTTTTTTTTAAGAATATTCGTTTTGTTATTTATATTTTGTTTTATTTTTGCAAGAAATAATAATGTGGTATTAATTGGGCTTTAAGAAATAAATGTTTGGTTTTATTTTTTTAAAAAAACATACTTTTTTTTTTTAATTTAATACCTAACCAATTTCCTAGCCATCTTCCCCTAACCCCAATATTTACATGTAAAGATAGCCTTGTTTAGCGCTGTTTCGCATTACGCTCTACTTTGATGGAACTTATCCCCCGCGTTAAGCGGGGTCTTACTGTATTCTCTTGACCACCTTTTCTTTAAAATCTCCAGGAGAAAATGTACTTAGTTATTATTTATATATATTGCTTCTATGTATTCTCCAGAGTATTAAATAGACTCATATTTTCCTTGTTTGTGCAAATACCAAGAATGAATGAAAGCATTCATATTAATTTTCAAAATGCTGGAAGAAAATGCTTGAAGTATGAAAAAAGAAGAGGAGCCATAACATAAAGAGACACAAATAATGCCAACTATTATATCACAATGACAGAAAGTTGATGCTACACCTCTCGGTCTGTAAGGTATTTCTCCCACTTTCTTAGCATGCCTTCGTGGTGTAATGGTTCTGCATGCTGGACTGGTATTCCAGAGGTCCGTGGTTCGATTCCCGGCGAAGGCGTTTGTGGTGGGTGATGATTTCTCCCCACCCAGGATTTGGCGATTGGGTTCCCTAAAAACCCCAGTCGCCTTTAAAAGGGGGAGTATATAAGGCATTTCTCCCACCTTCTTGGCGTGCTTTCGTGGTGTAGTGGTTCTGCACACTGGGCCGGTATTCCAGAGGTCCGTAGTTCGATTCCCAGAGATGGCGTTTGCTAATTTTTCATCTTGCCTGCTGCCAAAAATCCTAATGTCTCTACAGGTCTATTTCCTGCAGTCAGCAAGCACTATCTCTGAGATATTTTTATATACTTAAGTGAATGGAGAAATGTATCTGCAGCGACTGAGAAGGGAAAACATTACTCTTTAAAATTTTTATAGTGTTTAGATTGCCTGAAAACACTCCAAATGTTAGTTCAGTTGTCATATTATCTTAAAATGTTTCTCATGAATAATTTAAAATGAAATTTTCTAAAAATTAAAGTGAGTAAAGAAATATGCAATGGGCATCAAGATTTGAACTTAGTATTTGTGAAATTTAAATTTGCTATACAACATTATTACCATAATGCAAGCCTATCTGTGAATTCCTCTATTAAAAGGGCTTATGGAATATAAAAGTAACTTAGAGGTCCAGTTCCAAATTTTCTTACTTATTTTTGAGAGAGATGTGCTTTGACTTCATTTATAGACTGACTGTAAAGTCATCTATATAGAGTTTGTGCAAAATTTGAGAAACCATATCCCTTGTTGATAGCAGAAAGAAAATTTTGGTAGAAAATAAGTTTTCTCTTTAAATATGTTGTTATGAATGTATAGTTAACATGTACTTCTGTTGGCTTTCAAGCAATATTGTCATTCATTAGATAGTTGTCTGATTTCCTTGTACAATTAAATCGTATATGAAGTGCGTTCTTCCTGAGTTGTTGCTTTTTGGGCTTTCTTTACCTGGTATATTTTTTATGCTGAAAGACTTGAGAAAAATATTTTTTAATGTTATTGAAATTTTTTAATGTTACTGAATGCATTCTCTTATAGACCTTTTGTTCCAAGATGTGAACTTAAAATACTAGAAAGTAAGAATTCTGATCTACAAAGAGAAATATTAGAGTTGAAAATGAAGTTAAATACTCAAGAAATTGCATTCAAAAAGTACGAGTCTGAAATTAGAGCTGAATTTTTAAGTAATATTGAAAAGGTTAGTAACTGCTTATTTTTGTATGCTGTACTTATGCATATATACAGATGGAGAGCAGGAAGAGAGAGAAGTGTAGGGTATTTAAAAAGCCACTGTTCATTGAAGATAGAAATACTGATGAAAGTAATTATAGCAAAGGGAAAATTGCGTAATTTCTTTGGGTTAGGTACTTTCATATTATTCCATTGACCGTGAAGCTGTCACCAAGCAGTATAACTCAGTGCCAATTATGGATAAGCATGATGTGATGACACATGTCACGATTTTGGTTTTTGTTTTATTGTATCTGAGGTTTTGGCTTATGTAACCGTGACTGATTCTCGGTAAGTTATGTTTTTAGAAACAAGACTACAAATTAACTGTTATTGCTACACTATTTCTTACATTTTGAAAAAAAAATATTCAAATTTGTAACCTGCTCTATACAGAGCAGCAATTTGTGGATTATTTTCTCTGTGAAAGTTATGGTAACCATAACTTAGTATTATAAGTTATTATAATACTAACTTATGCCATTATAATAACATAAGTTATTATACACTGAAGAGCCATTACATTATGACCACTCTGTCAATAACATGTAGGACCACCTTTAGCCCTCAAAACTGTCAGCACCCGGCATAGTATGGACTTTACAAGGTGCTGATGTGTGGTCTGAGGTATCTGGTACCAAGCGCTTACCAATTGGTCCTGAAATTCCTGCACATTGCAAGGGGGTAGATGTGGCAGCATCAATTTGGTTTTCCAGGTGGGACAACAAATGTTCTATTGGATGAGTGTCAGCTGAATTTGGAGGCCAAGGACTTGACTGGAATGTTCCTCTAACCACTTTCTGATGATTCGATCCTATGATATGGTGCATTATCCTGTTGGTAAACACTATTCCCCACCAGAAATATTGTTGTCATGAATGGGTGAACCTGGTCTGCAACAATGTTCATGTAGTGCACAAATGTCAGGGATTGTTCTATGGGGATTAATGGGTCCTAATGTGTTCTATGAAAACATTGCCCACACCATAATATTCCTTCCACTGGCTTAATTAGCGTGTTAGTACACTCCCATTGATGTGATGGACTAGAAAACATGCAACTTTCTTCCACACTTCTAATGTCCAATTCTGATGTTTCTTGGCCCATTGCAGATGCAGCTGGTGTGCCACCAGTGCAGGGACATACTTTGGACTCTGGTTGTGTAGGCCCATATGCAGCAATGGCTGCACAGTGTGTTTAGAAGCACAGTGTGTTTAGAAGCACTTGTCTGGGACCCCACTGTTGTAGCTGGTGGTGATTTCGGCTGTTGTAGCTTTTCAGTCGCGGCGAACAGTGCTTAGTAATCTCCGCTCTCCTCTTGAATCAATGCGGCGTCGATGACACCCTGCCGGCCAGCAACTTTTTGTTTCATTATCCATACACCACTTTCGATATGTGCTCACAACAATTGCACGTGAACAGCCCAGTAAACATGCTGTTTCTGATATTGATGTTCCCAGTTGTTGAGCCATAATAATTTGACCTTTATCGAAGTCTGATAAATCAGCTGCTTTTCCCATTATGTCGCTAATCATGCTATGTTTGGAAAGACTATGCATAGCCGCTTTGTATACACGGAGTGGTTTTGTTCCAGGGCGAGCCAATTGCTATAGATGGATGGTGGTTATAATGTAATGGCTCTTCGGTGTAAGTTATGGCGTCTTGCCATCAGAAGAGTGTGCATTAAAGGGCACAGTATAGTTAGCTGAATGTGGCTAATAAAACAGTCGTAGGTGTTTTACTTCTAGCATTCTAAAGAGGGTTTTAGATTAAATCGGACGGCCTAATAAAATAAGAGAAATCAACAAAAGCCGTTTTAGCGTAAAACTGTAGCAGGTCGAATATTAATTATTTATTAAATAAAGAGCAGTCAGTTTTTTCAGAATTCCACAGGAACAACATGTGCAACTTTGGCAAGTCTGCAATTTTCCTGGTTTAACAGTAGCCAGCTTTTCACGGTCGATGAGATAATATGCAAGTTCCCCAGATTATTTGCATACATTTTAGGAGCAATCATGGCCAGCAGTTATGCCATATAACCTGAGAATATCTTAACCATTAAACCAAAATGGTATGTAAACAGATCTGAATGTTGATATGGGCAAATTTTAACACATTCTGTAGAGGCTAGTGGAGCCTGAAGTGCAGTGATAATTGCAATGGTGACTTTTTAATGCCTTGCAGTTCTCTGAAATGTTTCTGCTAAGAATTATATATGAATAATCTTATAATTATTTATTATATATTTATTAATTTAGTTTTTAATTATTGAAATGAAGATGCCTTGAGTTAAATTATTAGTAACACATATTAAAATCATAATACATTTACTTATAAAGTAGTGTATTGCAGTGTAATAGTATAATTTTAGTAACTAATTGAAGAAAAATCATATCCATTCTAGTTTAATTGTATAATGTTTTTATGAGAAGATTAGCAAGTAACAATAAACAATTTTTTAAAAATAAGTAACAATATTTTCAAAGCATTTTAATTTTACATCTCCTACTTATCAAATGATTATAAGTTGATCAGTTTTGTCCCCTTTTTGAAAAAAAATATAAATCTTTTATGTGTAATAATCTTTTTCTTGATTTGACGAACAAATCAACTTCTGCTGTTAATTTGGACTAATAATTTAAATAGTATATAGTTTTTTTTTAATGGTGGCCGCTAGTCATTTTTTAGGTTTTACCACTATTAAGGCCAGATGTCTTTGTCATTTTATTATGAAGGCACCCAACAGGCAGCCACCATTAACTCTTATGAGGGGACAGACAATCTGCATCCATGCCTTCTCTGGAATTTGAACCCAGGCCCTTTGGTACTGCAGTTGGCTCCTCTAACCACTATACTGTCTGAGTGGCAAGTAGTACATAGTAAATAATGCAAAATGCACACACATTCTAAATATCTGGTTATATCTGGTTTATGGTTTTCCACCATAAAACATTCTTAATAAAGTTAGGGGGAACATGAAAGCAGTACCTTTAGTGCAGGTAGTAATCACCGCCCAAATGTATGATTTTCTGCCAATGTTCAAAGCTTTCGCCCCACAAATCTTAGTGGCAGTGAGTCCAAAAACAGATCAACCTCATTTTGGATGTCCTGTGCAGAATGGAAGATAGCACCAGCAAGAAGATGTAGCTGCAGGTGTGAAAAAATATAAAGTCCGAAGGAGTAATGTTACGGCTATATGGTGGGTGTGGCAGAAGATCTCATTCAAGTCATTCAGAGTCGAGTCGTTGAATGCAGATACATGTGATCTTGCATTATCTTGATGGAACATTACCATTTTGCTTCAGAATTCATTGTGATTTTTTTTTTTTTTTTTTGATAGCAGCATCAACATAGACTAGCATTTTGCTATAAACCTTACTGTTAAGAGTTTTACCTTGGCAATCTCACCAGATACAAAGCATGATCTTTTTGTTAGTCAAATTGCACTTTGCGACGCTGCTGATGGCCTCACCGGGGCAGACCAACCCTCTTTTCAGCCTGTGTTGTTGAAGTATATCCACTTTTTGTCACAAGTGACCATTTGGTCCAGCATTTTGCCCTTGTGTTAATATTCAAGCAGATTAGTGCGGACCTGAACATGTCTGTCCTTATATGCTTGAGTCAGCTCATGGGGCACTTGGCAGTTGAACTTGTACGACAAGTTTAGGCAATGCATAGCATGACTAACGGACATGGCACTGATGTCTTAACTCCTTAGCAAGCTCTCGAGTGGTTGGATATTGATCTTCTTCCACAGGTTCTTACAGTCGTCCCTCATCAACAACAGTAGGCCGCCCAGAGTGGTCTGCTTCTTGAATGTCATAGTCTTTGTTTTTTAACTTTCGGTACGAAACCTTCACAGTGTCGTATAATACAGCATTAGTACCTAAAACTGTGCACATGATTTGGTGACATTCTATAGCTGACTTTTTGTAACAGAACTGGAAGTAAATGATGGTTCTAATCTGGTAGCGTGATAGTTCCATTTCAGACACCTTGTACTAAATGGTAACGTTATTTTTTTTACAAATTTCAGAACACATTGTTCTAAAGCAAATCTCTTTCAAATGCCAAAAATCGTTTGACAAAATATGATTAAACATGCCAATACGAACTGTTTGTGCAGACAATATTTGCAGTGACGGGAAGCTTTCATTAAACCACAATACTTTTTAAAATATTTATTTCATTACCCTGGAAACAATAAGGTATCAGGTATTTATTTGTGTAAAAAGTTGCTGTAAAATTTTTGAATTTAAAATTATTATAATTTTGTTTACAGCTTTCCAAAGAATGTAACACTTTGCGAAAAGAAAAGGAAGCAATTGTTGTTCGCTATGCCAATAGTGAAAAAGAAGTTCTGAAGGAGAAGAAAATTCAACAGGATTTAGAGAAAAAGCTAAAAGATGTAAATAAAGAAAGAGAAGCACTTTTACTGAAAATAAAAAACTTTGGTATTGAAAATTCCAAATTGGTGACTTCTATTGAAAATAAAGTATGCATAGTAGAGTTTAAAGTATTTTATTGAAATCTATTTTAATACAGAGGTGTCAAACAAATTGCTGGCCATTCTCCGCACAATTGCAACTCACAGAGGCTACACACCAATTGTGACTCTCATGTCACTACAATAACTGAAGCCACATAATGCAGTTGCTGTCCTATTAGTAAACCACCTGTTTGTCTGATTGCTACTGTTGTTATACTGATGATATTTGCTGAACTTTCTCCTGTCAGTAGGGTGGATGAAAAAGAGATGTGTTTATATTCTTAATTTATGTTTCATTTCTGAACTTGAGGTATTTTCTATTTATTGTTAATGTTATCTCTCTCTCTCTCTCTCTCTCTTTTTTTTTTTTTTTAAATCCAATGGCATGCACTTGCCTATTCAGCATTGGTCAGAAAGGTGGCCATTTTAATGTGGAGGCAGCCACTGGTGGCTCCTATAATACAGGCAGTTACAACCATGCCTTCTCCCTGATTCAAACTGGGGCCCATCAGAACTGCAGTAGGCTCCCCTAACCATTATACCATCTGGGTGGCTAATGTTTTATTTGTTGTGCTAGTGCTTTGTAAGGTGGATGTACAGTACAAAGTCCAAAATCCGAACTCATCCGGACTTTGGCGATTCCAGATTTGGGATTTTTCCGGGTATTAGATCATCAGTTTAAGTCTTGTAAGATGGCATGTAGAAATAATAAAATTAAAAATATGAAATCGTGAGTTATGATATGAAGTATTTTATGATCTAAAGGGTATCAAAATTTACAAAAAAAAGCTTAATATTTATTTGTTTACCTTATTAAACATTTCTTTCAATGTAAGTTGTTCCATTTTTTGTGCTAATACGGACATTATTTCTTGTTCAGTTGCATTGTTGGAACCCCTGTATCTGCTGTTTTGAGAATTCCGACTAACTTGTCAATCAAAATGTTCTCATTTTCAGTAACTTCTCTGTCACTTTCTTCACTATAGGTAGCGGTATTTTCTGGATCTAGAACCGTACTACTGATTTCACCATTTATTAATTGATTGATGAATGAGAAGCATTGTCATCACAATGATAAACTTCTTTTATATCATCTTCATTTATTACCGCTTCTCCACATTTCTTTGCGATATCCAAAAACCTTTAAAATTAGCAGCTATCATCATCAAATTTACCTATCCTTCACTATACATATTTGGCTATGCATCATGAGCTTGGTGACTAACGGCAAGTTGTTCCGTTAAATTTTATCTTACTTCTATCGCGCACTGAAACAATTAAGCCTGAATTATATTAGTAGTTATTTATTATACTTATGTCTATTTCTTACACATGCTTAAGGCTTATGAGAGTTCTGAATAAATAAATTCCCACGTATACTTAAGCCTTATTGAGGGCCGGCGTTAGATATCTTACTGCGTGATGTAGTCTGTGTGGGTCCTAAATTCTGCGACTCTGTGCGGCCATACGAGTCCTGGTGCTGGGTCTTGATTTATGTGAATCAAATCAATTATTTTAAATTCAAATAGACCTAAATGTAATCTTTAAGTCTACGAGTATCATCAACAAAATCTATTTTTAGCCTATGGAAAGAAATTTTTGGTAAATTTTTCCTCGTCATCATTTTTAGTGCATTTAACTTAAATCTGGAATCATCGCCAAGCACTATGTTAACATAAAAGGTTACCATACTGCTTTATTATTCAATTACTAACATGAAAAAAAAATTGCTTAGGCATCGCTACATGAGTCATTACTCAAGTTGTCGTGTTTTTATAAACATGCGGTGTTGAAAGGAAAGTATAATAAATAATGATTCACCAGGTTTTCATCAGATCAACAATGTATCTATGTGGAATGTTTCGATTTGAGATGCCTGCCAAAAAGCAGATACACAGCAATGGAGCCAAATTACTGATTGTACAAATTTATGCTAAAACGTTTGTTTCTTCAATAATAAGGTATTTTATTTAATGTCGAAGTGAAATTAAGAATCGGTACTCTCCAGATGTTTTATTATGCGTGGAGGGGGCAATCAAATGCACATGTGTGAAGCGTAGGAGAAAACCGTTGTTGGGTGGTTTTGATGTCCGGATTTTAGATCATTCCGAATAGTGGATGTCCGGATTTCGGCCTTTTTACTGTATATGATTTTTTTTGTGTTTTGACTGTTTGAATCCTGTATCTGAAGATGTTTGAATGAAATGATAGAAATTCCTTCATTCGATTTGATGCAGATTTCTTTTATTATAAGAACTTTTATCTGTGCTTGTCGGCATACCTTAAGCATATAAAACTAAATGTTGAAAGGAAAATAATCTCAGGTGCTGACATACTTGACGTAATGATAAAATTCATAAGTGAGGGATAATGTAATTCTCTCTGCTGAGTTGGGATTTTCAGAACAGTAAATTACAGTTTGAGATTAAAAGAATTAATTACTAAAGATAATTGTTTGCTTTTATGGAGGCATCACAAACTGCCAGTTTGACACCTCTGCTTTAGTATACAGATATATTAGATATCAAAAAGTAATTCAGAAACTTTTTGAACATTGTGTTTGATTTTGTTTAATTGTTAAAATCTGCCCTCCCATTTTAAACAATAATTAATGATGCATTAAGTATGTGATTAATCAGAGTGACAGATGTTTAAAGAAAGTATTGAGAAATCAGGATTAAGTATTAGAAATACTTTTGGCTGCTTTTTCTTTTTTTTTTTTAATTTGCTGTTTGAAATTCTGCATACATATTATGTAACTTGATAATTTTTTATTTTCCTTGTAAATGATTGTTTATTTGCCAAATTCGTTCATAATTTTATTTTTACTTCCAAACTAATTGAAGACTTCACACGGCAACAAGATAAGTTTAGGTTGATGAAGTTTTGCATCACACATTATTTGCCAGGTGTTCAGGCCCATGCCGATAATAAGTGCAAGGTTGTGTGACGCACGATGGCGCTGAGTCAAAAAGTTGCCGGACATTTATTAAAACAAGCAGTTTATCTCGCTACCTGTCTAACAGGAAAATTCTTGTCTCATTTTAACGCTCCTATGGGGGTCAATTCAGGTAAAACCTGGGAAGCTACTGATTAGGATCTGTATTTAGTCAGTCTCGACCACGGGTGTTTAAAATCAGTCTCCACAGGGCTAGCGATGGCTGTTTCAGACCTGGCAGGGACCATATGGCTTTCTCGTTCGTTTCGTTGGTTGTCATTGAGCTATATAGTCGGGTATTGATGATTGTCCGAGGTGAAACATTCCTGTTGGTGGAGTTGTCGAATTCAGCGAGCCTTTAAACTGCTTGAGGTTTCCAGTGGGTGCCTGGAGCCCCAAAACTGCATATTCATATCCTTCCTTGGTTTCCTTCTAGGGGTGCCTAAAGTCAACGTCTGTATACCTTGACATAGTGTTAGCAGGTTGGATTTTGCTCTGGTCTGTCTGACAGTGTTTAAGTGACTGTCTGGGCTTGGAGCCTCTGTTGATGGCAGATGTTTTTACCATCCCTCCAGAACGGGGACGTGGAATGTGAGTTGCTAAGTATTCCTGCCAATTAATTTTAGTCTTGGCTCGTCAGCTCGACCGATAGGTTAGCGGCTTCTAGCCTCAGCAACAATTTGAGCTTAATTATTTGAAAACTGTTTACCTCTCATATTTGAGCCATTGTCATATTCTTGGCTGCTTAAATTACTAATATCTAAACCATTTTCCTCAAAAGTCTTTAATAAGAATGTTGTTCGTGCTTCACCGGTCGTATCTGTTGAAACACAAAATACTAAAAACCGTTCTTTAATACTCATGTCTGTATTTTCTAAATTAAGATACCTCATACAAATTAATATCTGATGCTCTTGATGGCTGGCATCAGGGGTACAATCAAGTAAAATAGAAAAATATTTTACCTGTTTGACCTTACTTAAAATAATTTGCTGCATATTATCCAATAAGCTAATCGTTTCATTTTGAATTTTATCTTCAAGGTAATGAAGTATATTTTTTTGAGTTTTAATTTTTATTAGTCATTCAATAATATCGTGCCAATGCTTTTGTCTCTTTTTTTTTTTAATAAATTTTGAAATTCCGAATCAACAGTTTTATTCTTTTGTAATTGTTCTAAGAAATTGGACCAAAGATATAGACTCCAGAAATGCATTTTATTTTTTTCATGAAGTTTTAAGTGCTCGTTTAAGTGGTTCCAGTCGTTAAACTCAGAACTACTTAGTTTTATGTTGCTGAAACTGTTAAAAATTTTGCAACAAAAACAATAAGCAGAATTTTTTCAGCAGAATTTAGCAACTAATCTTTTAACTCTTTTGTTGTTGATGACGTTGATGGACAACTAATGCTAGTAGCATCAGCTTGGGTATTCCCTGGGTTTTGGAAAACTGAGTAATTTTAAATTTCTATTTTATCAAGTCTTCCTCTTTCTTTTTCTTCATTGCATTCTGATACTCAGGCAGTGTTTTCTGTTTTTGTTCCAACATCTTGGGAAAGATGAAAACAGAAAAAGCAGAAGTAAAAATAAAAGTAAAAAATAACTAGTATAAGAACTGTTGCGTAAAATACTTCTTAAAAACACTCGGAAAGTCATTGATTGAAATATTTTACCTTACTTCTGAAACACTGAGTATATCTTAAACCATTGCTTGGAATATATATGAACTATTAGATCAATACCAAATAATTCAAGGAGGTAGAAGTACTCTTTTGTTTATTAAAGTAAGTAAATCAAATTTAATTATGCATTTAAGATGTAATGAAATAACGAAACATTTTACTTCAGTTTTTCATATAAGCTAAAAATAGGAAAATGGCCAAATTTTGATTACAGAATATCTTGTATATATTTACTTCTTCAAATCTCAAATAGGTATATTTTAAATTCAATGGTACTCTGTAAATATGTTAATCCTTTCTTCTCGAAAGATAATAATTTTTACTTTAATAAACAAGTAGTTCATGTAAAAAAAAAATTTTTTTCGAGTAATTATGTTAGTCAGTTTTCTGAAAGCTAACCTAAGTTTGACATATAATGCAACTGCACTTACATTTTTTAATGTAAAATAACAATAACAACAAGTAGTCACAAAAAAGATAAATGTTGCACAAATTACTACCATTGCAACAGTAGACACAAAATAAGGATTAAGCAATTTTTTGATCGCGTCCATGGCGTGGGCCTGTTCCTTTACATATGCATCGGCATCATGTATTTTCATTCACATATATCTACAAGATCAGTTCTATGTCAGAAACTGCAAAAGGAATTAACTGATAAAAATCAAAGCGACATAAATGGTATAGATTTCGTGTATGAACTGCAGTTTTTGCAAACTTTTGGAGGAAATGTAGCATTGCCGGCTGAAACTCTAAGCTGTATCGTTGTCAACAACATAGCGGTGTGCAAAAACGAATTTTAGATATCTCCCTAGATATCAGCCCTACAGCATTTTTTGTGCCCTTTGTAATCACAGTTTGAACTTTGTCATTAACTACGCGGAGAACAATTTTATTCAGTGCAAACTTAATACATATCTAAATTAATTTGTTTTTAATTTTAAGATAATAAATAGTGTTCAGCAAATAATGCTCACTTATCTGACGTATAGTCAGCCCCAGTCCATGAAATTCCTCGTACAAGGAGCGCAAGATACGTTGTTGTTGGCAACAGCCTTGAGCACCTTACAGGTGACTGCAATTTAGCTCAGTTTCGATCCCAATTTTGATGGAGAACATCCTGGAGGGAGGGGTCCAAGCAACTCCCACCCTCTTCTTCTACCATCAACCTTTCAAGAAAACTTTCGCCTCACATATTTAGAGTGCCCTCCATGCCGCACAGACACTATACATTTACATCCATGCCTTCTCCGAGGTTCGAACCAAGGCCCTTTGGCACCACAGTCAGCAATGCTAACCACTATACCAGTTGGGCGGCTTTTTGTAACATAAATGTATAGATAATTCTTCAATAAATATGTTTGAGTGTGTGTTTTAACGCGTTGAGCGCGGCACCAAATTTGCTGTCCTTTCCGTTCAGCCAACAGCAAGCTAAGCCGTATTCTTGTTTATAATGTTTCAATACATTTCATTAAAACTAAATTTGATCACATTTCATTGAGACTATATTTATTTTTTAGACCAACACTAGCCAAACAAAAATTTGAGTCGACACCGGCCACATGGGAAGGGGACCGGCACCACGCTCAACATGTTAACAAAGAACAAAATGTTTGCATATTTAGACAAATTAAAATATAAATTGTACTTTAAAATGAAGCATTATTAACATAATATAAAAATTTCTATTTTTTATATTATGTTAATAATGCTTCATTTTAAATATTAACCGTAAGCAATGTTCCTTTAATATCATCACTGCATAAAGGCGCTCGCTAGACATTTGCACGACTGCACTGAATAGGCTTGGCGTGGGCCTGTGGATGTTTCGGCAATGAATTAGCTACACAGTTGTTTCCGAGCATAGGTAACATGGGTAGCTGCTTAGGATACCGATTTTTAAAGGACACCATGTAAGCCATTCACACAAACAACTAAGTAAACCTTTTTTATTTTGAAGTATTAAAATGTTTAAATTATGGGGTGCAAACTCCACTGATTGTCTGCCTAGGGTGCTAAAATTGCTGGAACTTTGCCTAATTAGCACATTTTCTGTTCATTGGCTAACTGCATGTGCAGTGAATAACTCATTAAATGGTAGCTCTTCAAAGAGAATTTGCAGATATTTTTGTTTCTAAAACCAGACATTTTCCACCATTGTTGTATTTTTATGCTTTGAAAACATTAGCAGCTTGTATATTATGATGGAGGATATTGTGCAAAATAAAAGTTTGCTTTTGAGGAGGGATGGAGAGGAAGTTATGTACCAGTATTGCTGTCAAACATGATAGAATGATTTTTAAATCACCTGATAGAAAAAATTTTGCTAATTTTTTTTAATAGGTACTTGTGCTGCAGATAAAATATTTGCACAAAGCCTGTCTTACAGAACATTTAAAAACATTGCATGACTAAATATCTCTTGAATGCTTAATGTTGGATATATATTTCCAGTTTTAAAACATGAATCAATGAGATAGGCCTTCCGATTGTAGTAGTTTTGGAATATTACTTTAGTTAGGTCAAACTTAAATTTTTATGCTATGATCTGAGGAAAATGTTTCCCTAGCTGAATTAATCATATGTAAGAGAGGGGAGAATTCATACACTTTTAATCAGAATTACCCAAGATATCATTGGTATGTGGGAGCTTCATATACAAATACTCCTGAATGTAATGTGCATATTAAATTTTAAAATCCAAATTTCTGAAAGATAACTTTTATGTTTAATGACCTTTAATTTAGAATCTTTGTTTTAAATTACCATTTATAGAGTTGTTAAAATGGTCCATAAATTTACTTGAATTTTTTCTGAATAAATTTTTAAATTGACTGAAACTTTCTGAATACATTTGGATTTAACGCATAATTTTGACAATTTTTTTTTCAGTATCATTTTATGCATATTAAGGACTAGTTTTTTCCTCTTGTGAGATCTCTATAATGACAGAGAATAATTTTTCGATTGAAGCTTTGTTCATAGAGGTCCGTCTAAAAATTAAAATTTTTATATTTTAACTAAAAGCAGTCAAGTAATCAAAATTGTCATTTTCTGAAGGCTACATTATTTGATCAATTTTTATTGCCAGAACAATGAATTACTACTAATTACTAACTAATCAGGTGAAATTCAGTGTGTAATATTTTTGAGATTCTCTGCATACCAATCCCAGTGCTTAATACAGTTTGCAATCATTCCAATTTGATCTTAGTAAGTGCAGATTTCATACATGTGTTAAAAATGTTTGAATCATTATGCTTTTTTTTATTAAAAGTGCTATAAATTCATATTTAAATTTTAAAAGTAAATACAAAAAGGAAAAATTTATTTCCTTGTCGTTTAGTAAATAACCAAATACTATTAAACCAGTTGGTGAGTTTTTACCAACAGTTGCTTAGTATAGTATTGTGTAGTACTTTTCGTTAATTTCTTAATTGAGTTTTACATTATATAATCAAAATTGACAGTTTTAATTTTAGGGTCTTCATAAAATTTGAAGTCATTTGCTGATTCATCAGTTGTTGACATGTTATCATTAGAATCCATGCCATTTTTCAATTTCATTAAGTTCTGCTTTTTCTGTAATCATACCCATACTATCTTCATTTATTGTGCTACACATTATTGAAAAATTTTCCTCATTGCTGTAATCTGAAAAAGAATGGTTGCAGGCTGGGAGCTAAATTCGTCATTATTTTTTCTGTTATCAGGCAAGATCAGTACAATTTTATAAAGTTTATTTATCATCTTTTGCATGCACTATAGATTCCTAATATTTTTGCCTTTGTTTAAAACTTTATTAAGTGAAATATATTTTATAAAGTTCTTGAAACTAAGTATTTGTTAAAGAATGCAGGATGATTTGATTCTATTACATATGAATTTGATAAGAAATGTTTATCAGAATACAAACTTACTGAATATTATTATTAGCCATAAGGGGCAGTTTGCTCAGAAGGGCTATTAATATCATTTTTGCATTTTGCATTGATTGACTATAAATGGCGAATGACTTTTAAAATTGTTGCTACCAAATATTAGAGCCCTGCTTTATATTTAAAGAAATTAAATAATAAAGAATCTGCATAAATGTATGTATGTTTCTCGCATTGTGATAAAACAACGGTATCCAAGTTTGAATAATGTATGTCTCCACCTGAATATGAGCATCTTGAAGCCCAAATTTGAATTCATTTTATTATCTATTTCATATTTTGTAAAGCATTTATGAGTTTTTGATTAAGAAACTCAGCAGTTTTGAAAGTGAGCAATGAAAACACTGAACGGAAAAAGAAAAAACACTTTTATCTCCAGCGCACAAGACCGGGTATCGAAAATTCTAAAGATATGCTCTTTTAAATGTTTTGTGATATTGCTGTTAAATTGAATTTTATGGTTTAAGTGCGAAGAACATGATATTTAATAAATAAAGGTAACACACAAAACGTTAAAAAGGCCCCTTTGAGCATAATATAAAATCTCAAAAACATTTAGATTTTTTTTTTAAATTAAAATTGATCTAGGATATTGTTTTTGAAGAGGAACTTTGAAGTTGATAATTGTACTACCAAATGTAGAATTTAACTTGTGCTGGCAGTATGGCAAAATATCTCATTTTGTGCAGCATAAGCTTTTGTTAATATGTGTCTTCTGTTTGCATTAAATATGTAATACAAATATGCTATGCAGCCATATATGTTTTAATTATCTCCTGAGTTGAGTAAGGTTTTTGTTTCTATAATTGGACAACTTTAAGAATTAAAGGAATTGAGCAAATAAAGAACAGTATTGTTACATTTTTCTTTCAGATGATTGAAATAGCAAAACTGCAGAAACAGAATGAAAAATTAAATGCTGACATCAATTCTAGAGATACCAAAATCAAATGGCTGCAGAATAAATTAAAGAATGTCTCAAGTGCTCATGAGGTAATCTTATTGCAGTTCTTGTTTATGTGTGGGTATTGAAACACACTATGTTTTAATGAAGCTGTTTTGGTCTTTAATTCCGCCATGATTTTTTTTTATTTTTTTATTTAGGATAGTTTTCATTTGGTAGCTTTTAAAGCTTTCTTGTGAGATAGTTAAGAGTTGGATAATGCATTAAATTACAAACATTAAAATAACCAGCTTAGTATGCTAGGAAATCCAATTGCCTGCATATTGTTAAAATAACACTCAAAATTCAGCGAAAATTATAAGCAGCATGCAAAGTTATGTATTCTCTAAAGAGATGTGAAACTTGATACAGGAACTAATATTTGTTACAAGCAAAGAAAATTCCCCCCTCCCCAGAAAACTATACGAGTGTATTAACTATGAATAAAGTCAGAAGTATTTAAATAAGTGGTTAGAAAAACATTTGTAATAAAATTTAGTTTTTGCATTTAAAACATTGTGCCTGCCATATTTTCTAACAGCTTTCATACTATGAGGTATTTCATTGGATAATCCTCCTAAAAGCCAGTTGCATAATTCTCTCCAGTTTGCATAGAAATATTATAATTTTGAATGATCCTCAGCCTTGTGAAATACTTGGTTGTGATTCAAAATCAGTAACCAGATTAATGGAGAGATAAAAATTAATGATGATGTTTTCTTAACTTTGTTAGACTCAAAGTGGCTAGTGCACTGTTCTAGTCCAGAGAATAGGACTTGTTCATATCGATTTTGCTTTTACTAGAGAAGTTGCTAGAATGCTTTTTTAATATAAGAGAAATTAAAGGTATATAAATCATGTAGGAATACTTGAAATGTTATTCAACCTCCTGGAAAAAAATCATGCTCTTTAAAAGACTTAATATATTAGTGAAACAATACAGACTTGTGAGTACATACTGTGCAGGATCTTTGATAATGTAAATATTACATTTAAACATGTCTGGATGCCATTTTCAGCATTTTTTATTGACTGTGAAGCATTCTGATCTGTTGTATTTTTTAGTGATGTTTTCTTTGCTGAGAGTATGGATAGCAAATTATGACTTAGTCAAGCATCTTATAGAAATGCTAATGCTACTATAACAGAGAGACTTCATTTTTTCCCCTTGAAAAGTTATCATCCACTTTAATATATATTTTTTCCAAATAATTATTTGCCAGTCAGCTAAAAGTTTAAACATTATTAAAGTTTAATTCCAAATTTTATTCATTAAATTAAGCTGATTGTATAATTTTTTTGGGGGTGGGACATTTCGCTTTGTAAATATAAGTCAGTTCCTATATCAAGTTTTATGAAAGCGTCTCTTTATAGTTATCTTTTGCATGCTGCATTGTAATTTTAGTTGAATGTTAAATGTTACTTTCACAGTATGTACATAATTAATTGTATTTTGTAGTGGTTTGCATTATTTGTTTATTATTTTTCTGTTTGTCATACTATAGCTTTCATTTTTCTTATTTTAGGAAACCCAAGTAAAATTGGAACATACAGTGCAGAGGCTTAATGAAATGAGAGAAGAAGCAGAGCAGGTACGAAAAGATTGCCAAGAAATGATAAAGTGCTATCAAGAAGCTGAAGAAATCAAATCAGTTAAGCTTGATAGCCAGCTGAAGCAAAAATTATCTGAACTTGAAGTACAAAAGCAAGAAAAGTCAGATCAAGAACAGGTATGGATATTGAAAGATTGGACAGTATTTATCCTGTTGTAATTTTTGTAACACAGCTATTGTGCAGTTTTCATAATATTTTTATTTTCTACATTTTTGCTAAACCCAGTTAAAAAATTAAAATTTTTGTGTCCGCTATTTTAACTATATTAATCAGAAAAGAAAAAAAAAATCTTTCAAATCTGAAGTGGACAAAGGACAGTTGTGACCGTACTGTCTTTGTAGAACAGAGGCACACAAAATCTATTATTTCAAATGTTCTTTTCAGAATTTAGTGGTCAGAGGGATAGGAAACCTTAAAATCTATTCCTTGGGATGTTCTGGATCAAAATGAAGTAGTGCTTTGTTAAGTATCTCCATCTCATAATTAGAACCAATCAAAAAGTCTGCAGTTTTCTAGTAGTTACAATTGCTTTTTAAAATTGGGTCTGTGATGAATACAATCTCAGTTTGCATGCAACACATGAATATTCTAGTTGTGGATTTAAAATATGAATTGCAGATGGAAGCTACCAGTGGAATGCTAGTAGAACGATTAAAACCTGTGCCATTTCAGCCTGACATATTTTATCTCATTTATACTTATATCTCTTTTGGAACTAACTATACATAATTTATTCCTTCTTTAAAACTGTAATAATTTTTTCTAAGCCATTCATGAATTTAATTTTGCTTTTAGTTATCTTTTAATAATATCATTGAATGAATTATAAACCATGTGACAGAGAAAATTTAAAACCATAGCAATTTTATGTAATTATGCAAATTGTGAGGAATATGCAGCTGAACAATTTAAATGATTTAAAATGCAGGCTTGTCCCATTATAAGTTCATAAGAATAGGAAAAGAAATGTCAGATGAGTTAACAGCTGTCACCATAAGAAACTTTTTATCTCAGAAGACATGCACAGTTGAAGAGTTGCCTGGCTGATACTAAAGAAGTCAGTTTTTGTAAAGGGTCTCATTTTGGGTGAATGAACATTTCAACATGTATGGTTGGTTCTGTCATATCACAACTGAAACACACTTAGATGTGCTTGCGTACTTTGCAGTAATTAAATTCAAACCAAATCGCACCGTGCCTATATCCGTACAAAGGATTTGAAGAAGATGGATTGAAGAAGGAAATTTGAATCATGCCAGAGGGAGTAGTATATCTAGATCGACACCAGCATGCTTGAATCGATGCATGCAATGGCATACATTAGCAGCCCCACAAAGGATCACTGTTGACATCATGAAGAATGTGCAGAGGTTTCGATGCTACAATATCGGTAAGAAGAGTTTCTGGATAAGTGCTCAAATGTAGCTTGCCGTCGTGCTGCTGTTTGAAGACTGCTTTTGATGCAAAGCCACTGACCTCAATAATTGGTGCCAGAGCTGAGTATTTTGGATGACTGAATGTACAGCTGCAAGTCTCATTTATGTTTCACCTTCGGCGGACCACACAGCGATGAGAAAATTGTGTGTGCAGTCCCCACAAGTCACTGCTTCCAAACTTTTATGATGTGTCACATGACAGGTTCTGACATTGCAGACTCAATAATTGTTCCAGTTGACAGTACAAGAGACATAACTTCAAGACCAGTGTCAAGAGATTTTAGCATTCTGCACTATGTCTGTCATCAAAGCCTCTCGATTTCAGGAGGGCTGACAAACAAATGGTCTTGTTTTTCCTCTGATATTGTTCCAGATGTAACAAATCAGAGGATGTAAAATACTACTGAAAAATTAAGGAGGCGTGACTAATTCAATCAGAAGATTTTTTTCCCATCAGAACAACATGTCAGAATGCTCTTGAACTCTTTACTAGAGAGACCTTCGTTAGCCGGTTCCTAGCATCATGAGATCCATAATTTACTTCAATAACTGTTCTGTGCTATCCGTGAATTATATATATTTGTAAAGAGCTTCTCGTAATTGTAATAAATATGTTTTGAGTTCAAAAACGGAGTAAGCATTATGAAAGCTCACAAAAGTACTGGAGTCAGATATGCTACCTTGCTGCAGTCACACACATACACACACACATGAGTGCACCAATGACAGTCGCAGAGTAAGAAGTGATGCAGAGACAATTCCAATCCTGCTATGCCATAGTACTTGACAAAATGTCTTCATGGTCTGAGGTGTCTTTACCACTGGTAGTTAGTGGTTCATATCTGTCACAATGACAGCCTGAAGATACATAGGTGAAGTACTGCAGCCGGTTACACTACCCTATATTTAACCATTGCATAATGTTTTCTAGTAAGACAGTGCCTAACTCTATGCAGCAGTCATCAACAGAGAAACCGTTCTGGTTGCCCATATGCTTTCTTGGCCAAGAAGGTCTTCAGATCTCGCATCATTCGAGCATTTGTGGCATGTGATTGATCTGCCTCATCTTCAATTGAAGGATGGTTGAAAACATATGGTCATCCATCCCTCAAGACACTATCTATATGTTTGATTTCTACATTTAAGGACTGCTTCTTGTATCACCACAAGAAATGGCCCTACTTCCTGCTGATTAGTTCGCATATTCAGTCACTGTACTGTATTATTTTTTAGAAATTGAAATTATTTGCTTATTTATGTGCTAATTTTCTGTTTAAATTAGAATTCTGGTTTTGAACCTTTGATGTTAAGCAGTATGCTGTGATAAAAAGGCACTGATATTAGACATGTATATCCCATGATGATCATTATTAGGAACATATAAGATATAAAGCCAAATTTTGCTGCTTGTGATGAAACTGCAGTTAATTTTTCCCGTATGCTGATGGAAAATTTTCCTCATTTCAGATGATGTAGAACCTTGCTTAGCTTATCCCCCCCAACCAAATCTGTTATTGCTGCCTGAAGTGTATTTAAAAATTTATAACTGTTCCATTTTGATATAGTTAAAGATCTCTCAAACTGTGTATATTCACTGCATTTTTAAAGGCTGTATGTCTTGCTTAAATTAGGTTTGTTGGGAAGGGGGATATGAACAATATAGTAGGGATTTTAATGTGAAACTAGATGTTTCTGCAGTGAAACAGGTCTTGTTTTATGAAAGAAAACACTTGATATTCAGAATTTTTATTGTATAAATGTCGATCAAAAGCATTTTTGTTTTTTGGTCATAAAAATCACATTAAAGGACAGTGGCTCTCAAACTGTGCTACCTGCACTTTCCAGGAGCTATATGAAAAATTTTCTTTAATTACAAAGTGGGGGTTCAGTGGTTCGTCAGGGCATAGTTCATGTAAACAAGTAATTCCATGAAGCCGATTAATCGTGGACAGATTTAAGCATTGGCAATTCAAGAGATGGAAATATAGCAAGACCTTTTCCTAAAAGACTCATCCTAAAGGTAAATACTAGTTTGATTTAGAAATTCACGTAATTTTAATGTTTGTACAAAGCAATTGCACAGTAAACATTGTTAAACTCAGAGAGTACACTAGGAATTCTTCATAGTATACTAGGAATTTTATTCCATATTCTAATCATGGTTTATGTAGTTTTTTATGTAATCATGGTTTATGTAGTAGTAGAACATATCTCATATATCATCTGCTTTGCTATCAATTGGACAATTAATATAGCATGCTCAGAAACTGTGCAGTAGAGATTCTTAGAATTGTCAAAGAACAATTCAGAATGTGGTAAAAAAAAAGTATGCAATGAAAATGCGTTTAACTTACTTTTATTGAGCTCTAAATCATTTATAATCAACAAGAGGAAACTATGTTAAAGGTAATTTAAAATTTTGCCAGAGGAAGCTTTAGGATTCGATGGTTCTTTATCCTCTAGAAGACCTGTACATAGAATGTAGTGACATTAGTGATGAAAAATAACTAGGAATTTTCTCCCAGATGAGCTTCTTCCCTGTGCTATGTGTATAATATATAAAATTTTAGTTTATTATTTCTATTAAACAAAAATGCATATAAAACTTTGAAAGTGAAGAAAATATCTTTTCTTGAATAAACTTCTGTTTTGTATGAACTATACATAGTGAAAAATTTAGTTTATATATAAATAATCATTTGAAAATTGGTATTTGCTTTATTTACAGAGAAAGTGCTTTTTTAAACAGTTTTAATTCCGTTAAATACATTCTCAAGGCATGTGAGAATTAAGACCGAGGTTTGCCCTACTATGTGCAGACCTGTCGGGCACATTGCTGCATGGTGCATTTGTAATGTGCTTCTGGAACTAATTATCTGAGTGATTTCTCAGAACTGCACATTCAAGAATTTTCTGGCTTATTCTTGACCCTTCAAGTGTTTCTGAAATCTGCCTAAAGTTTCTTGAAACTTAGTCCCATATAAATAGTGACTGGCTAGTTAAGTCACTTCACATTGAATTTTCACATCAAACACAGTGATTTTTTTAGCAACATGAATGCAAGTTATCTGTGCGTTTGATTATTTTTTAACCCTTTAACTGTCAAGTTATTTTGATGATTTGGGTACACAAATTGTCAATTTTTTTTATTGGAAAATTCAAATGTTTAGTACAAAATAAAATATACTTAAGTAGTTAAAAATTGATATTTTGAAGTACATGGGTAAAATTTTAAAGTTTTGTAGCCACTGCATATTTGCTTGAGGCGGCTGCCACTCAACATGGCAGTTATAAAGTTCGCTTCTAGTGAAGCATTATTTTCTAAAAATGAAAAAAATTAATTATTTTCTAAAAAAATAAATAAATATAGCCAAATACCTATTAGTAGTTCAGTAATTCAGTCTTGTGTGGTACAACTGGAAACACTTTTCCAAGCACAAACCAACTCCATAATCACTACACCAGAATCGTGTTTCCTTCCTTATCTTTTCCCCATTTTTATCCTTTTTCAAACAACACACTTTGCACTGTCTTGTAGGCTCACGTTTCGCAGGAGTAGGAGGAATATGGGATATAAAATGTTCATTAAGACGGGCAGGGTTATCTATTGTAGGTGGTCTGCCAACATTCTTTTGTCCAGAAGCTGCATCATCATATTTATGTGAAAGCTCTTCTACAACTTGGATTCGAAATTTTAAAAATGTAATACGTTTCCCAACTACATTTTTATAGAGCAAATATGAGTTCCAGAGTACCTTGTCTAGTAAATGTAAAAATATCTTTTTATAATATTTTTTCTGACGTTTCCGGATTGTTGGATGAAAGGATATTTCCTGATTACAGCGATCTACACATCCCATAGATAGACTGTAATTAGAAACAATCTTCGGCTGTATCTCCATTTTTTTATTTTTGAGGCTGACCATAGAAGTATCATGAATACTGCTCATCAAACACACATCCTTCATCTTCGGTTGAGGAATCTAAATCATCTATATAACGTTTCAAAGAACTGGACGCTATTTTACAACAAAAAGATCCTATGCACTTTGAACCAAAGAACTTGTAACCTCTACCTTTTGAAATCTTCAGTAAAGTGGTGTCATCTATTGAATTGAGCGATATTCAATTGAGCGACATTAACTTTTCCCGAGATACAGTCGGGTTTGACAAAGAGATGAAGCCGAAATAAATGTCTCCCGATATATATTCGGGTATAACAATACGATGCACTCAAGAAAAAAATTACCACGAGCAATACTCGGGCGTGACATTTTCGAACACCAGTGCTGTTCCCGAGATATGACAGTTAAAAGGTTAAGGTTTAATTATGAAATATTTTTGACCAGTTTTTAAGGTTTAGTTACAGAGTTAGTACATGTATAAGGTTAAGCTCATTATAGCTTAATTCTGAACACTAGTTTAATCTTCTAGTCTGCCAAATGCAGTTTCATCCAGACTTTAACTAACAGTATCAGAACAATAAGTACATGAAAATAGCTGAAAATATATTATGCTTTTAGTTTGATGTAAAAATTAAATTAACCATTATATATTGACTTCTTTATGCCATGGGAATAAGACCCAACTGAATTTAGTTATTTATAATTCAAACGTTTAAGCTGTAACCTAGCATCTGGGTAGCTTAATTTTAGGAACTGTTGTGTCATGAATTTTTAACTGTTCTTATGTTAATTAATCAATATTTAGGTATTTTATTTAAATTGAACTTGTAAAGAGCATAATGGAATATATATATTTGTAAATGTTAAAATCTCTAGCTATTTATTTTTCAATGGTTCGATTTTTTTTTCTGACAAAGATTGGGAGCGTTTCTTTGGGTGGAAATGACTTCCTAATGAATAGCTTTTTATGATAACAGAAGGCAGTATAGTAGTGTTGTCTTGCATGTCTTTCATGCTGCAGGGCTTCTGTTTACTGGGTGGTAAAAAGAAGATTAAAATGGCATCATTTTTCACTTTCTCTGTGAATGATGCAAGTGTTGAACAAATAAGTTTCTTTCGTACTGAAGGGCGTTTGTAAATTTCATTTTAAGGGGCAGCATTGATTTTTGTCTCTTATTTGTTCACTTGTTAGCTAGGGGGGGCATCTGGGTGACTTACTGTTTCCAGCTGCTCAACAAGTCATTGTACAGCTTTGGTATTTCAATTTGTTGAGGAGTGTGAAGATTTTCAGCAAAATAAAAAGAGAAATTCCCTGGTTAGTTAAGTTTAATTTTATGTGCAATTTTTCGGCCTATAGTTTTTAGTGGATGGAGAAACCAAGTTTTCTTCAGGTCTTTTATGGTAGTAAAAGTCAGACAGATTTGAGTTTGATTGAAAAAAAGAGATTGTGGGTCATTTGCCCTGCTGCAGGCTGTCTGAGCCAGCGGTCTGGAGCTGCGTTTATCTTGGCCTTGGGCTGATGACAATTTTCTTATATGCGATGTTAAGAGTTCTTTCACAAAAAAATTAGCATTGATTTACTTTCTTCGTCTCTTCATTATTTCTTCCGAACATGATAAATAGACATTCTCGAAGCAGTTCCCGACATACTTAAGTGTTCCAGAAGTATTTGTCCTTAGTATCTGGCATCTGTGGTTCCTAACTTAAAGAAGTGTTCTAGTTACAAGTATTTGTCATTGGGTTCCAGCATCTGCGATTCCCAACCTACAGAAGAGTTTCAGATACAAGTATTTGTCATTGTATCCGGCACCTGTGATTCCTGATCCAGATGCATTCCAGAATGAACATTCCCGAACCGGTTCTTGGTATACGTGCATTACAGTTAGAAGTATTTGTCCCTAGTATCTGGCACTTGCGGTTCCTGACTTACAGAAGCGTTCCAGTAGTATCAGGCATCTATTGTTCCTGAAAATGATCGACGCTTCTGAAGGTGTTTTTACCAGAAAAATGGTCTTTGCTCTTTTTCCAGAATACCGCATAGGACACTAAGATTCTTTCAATTCGGAAAAATTGTGTCCCACTTGTGAACGAAATATTTTTTTAAAAATTTTTTCTCTCTCTTCTCCGTCTTGCCTAATCTTATGGTGGATTAGTTAGTAATCATTTTATATATATATATTAAGAAATGATTAGAAATTTTAAGTAAATGACCAGTTATTTTGAAGGATTAAATATTTATTTCACCAGCTTAATTTGTAAGCAATGGAATGTTAAAAAAATAGTAAACTTGCAATGAGCTACATTCCGGTGACGCTGGAGATCACATGATGCAAGAACTGCTAATTTAAACAAACGAGCTTGTGCTGTGGTAGATGTGTTGAAAATTAGGAAATTTTGTTTATTTTTAATTAGTTATGAAAACTGCATTTCATCTTTAATTATTATTTCACCCATTAATTAACTGTTCATTCATTTGGTTACTCCTATATGCTATTGTTATCTTCAGGATACTCTTTTGTTTGCTGCTTTACCATGTTTTGATTTTTAATATTTATTTATGAATTCTTTCCTTGATCTGATAATTAATTCATTTATAAAAAATGTAAAAATGAATACATAAAATCATGTTTCCTTATATTGCTCTTTTACACTGAAAAGAAAGTTACTATAAATATTTTTAAGTCATAATTTTACCAACTTAACAAGTAATAAATAACAGTAATATATATATAAATAAATAACAGTAAATATAAATAATTGGTTTCTGAAAATCGTAATAGTCAAATTTCTGGAGCACTGTAAATGCAGTTGGCCCTTAAATCATGTAAGGATAACGATGCCAATGTTCTGCGTAGTTCAAAATTAATATATAATTTTATACAACTTAAAATTTAATTTTTAGCTACTGACTATTATCCTGTTGATAGTATAAATTGCAAAGTAACACAATTTGTATACAGTGGTACCTCGCATAAAGAACGCCTCGCACAGCAAACGCTGCACACAACGAACTTCATTTCATGATTCATACAATGAACTTCGTTTCACACAATGAAGTGTAAGGTGTTTGAAGAATGCGAGTTTGGTGGAGACAATATGACTGTCCGAAAGTTTTGGAAGGAGAAATTTGATGTCCTTATGGCAATACGACTTATACAGAAAGCCTGGGAAGAAGTGTCACAAAGGACCCTCATTTCTGCTTGGAAGATGCTTGTGCCTTCGTGGACCCAGGAAGAAGCAGTAGTTGATGACACAGAAGTAGTGAAGGACATCATCACAGTGGCCCAAAGGTTGGAATTAGAGGTAGAGGAGCTTATTGAGGAACACGAAGAAGAGCTGACAACTGATGAGCTCCAAGCACTTCTGGTCCAGCAACAGGACAATGCTCAAAGGGAAGCGTCATCTGATAACGAGGAGCAACAATCAAACAATCAACCAATCCCAACTGCTGACATCAAGAATATCCTGGTCAAATGGAAAGCAGTTCAGGAGTTTACCAATGCCCACTATCCGGATTCAGCTGAAGCAAACAGGATCAACGATCTTTACTCCAATACTCTTGTCCGTTATTTCTGGCAGATGTTGGAGAAAAGAGAAAAACTACTTTGGACAGGTTTTTCATGAAACCATCGTCCAAAAAGCAGAAAATGGATGAAGATGTGGAAGATTCGGTAGACTCTACTTAGTCTGTCTTAAAATTAAAAAATGTGTGTGTGTTTTTTTTTTTTAAATTATGTTTTTAGATGTATCTAAATAAAAATAACAAAAAATTTATCTTTTTTTATGTCCTCTTAGCATATTTTATGCTACAGAACGAATTATTTTTTTAAACATGTATTGTTATGGGAAAACGCGTTTCACATAACGAACTTTTCGCATAACAAACTTGCTCCTGGAACGAATTAAGTTCATTGTGTGAGGCACCACTGTACTATAATGTAAATGTCAAAAAGAAAAATGTAGAGATTTGTGCAACTAAGTTCACTGCAGTACTAGCTGTAAAACTAATAATTATTCATAATACATTTTTCTTCATTTTATAATAATAAAAAAGTACTATCTGTATACATTTTAAATATTCAAAAATAAATTTGAAGTTATTTTAAATCTTGTAAGTTACATAATTTGTCTGCAGAATTTTTTATTTTAAAATCATGTAGCTCAAAAAGATTTTCAAGTGTATTTATTGAAAAGATCTACCATAGGAAATAGACTAGTCTAATTCTAATGCATATACTTAAGGCACATGTTCACATATTTTGAAATTTTCTTTTGTTTGGAATTTATTCATATGTTGTGCATACTAGTGTGCAAAATAAAATTTGTCATCTACTAAGTTTTAAATATATATGCTATTATGCTTAACTGATTTTACAGGTTTACCATCTGTTACGGCAGGAATTGGAAGCTTTAAAGAAAAAACAAAGGATGACAATGGAAGAAAACAATTCACTTACTTTAAAAGTAAAGCATAATTCAACATCGGATGTAGTAAAATTAGTTTATGTTTAAAAAAATTGTTATTTTCACATTATTTTTAAATGCATAAACCAGTGTTTCTCAATCTGTGATTCATGAGCCTCAAGTGGTCCTTTGAAGCCTGCCCTCTGTGTCATAGATTTAAAAAAAAGGGGCGATAAAAATAAAATTCAAATTAACTGCATATACCACACTGTAGCTAAAAATCTTTGAGTTTGGTAATTACACATGGCAACATCTATTATTTTTTCATCCAATATGAAATTTATAACCAGTTGCCAATAGACTTCGTACTGTAGTCTTAGAAATAAAAGGACTTGAAGTTCGCTGATTTAGTGCTCTTTACCAACATACATTAAAACATGGAACAGCTATGCAAGAACTGGTAAGCTTATCAATCTCATTTAATGTGAGTAAATATTTATTTTAGTTAATAAATAAAGATTATCCGAATTCCTAACAGCCTTGTTTTATTAAATCAAATAATATAGATTTTCTTCTGTTAACTTAATTTTATAACACAAATTAAAATTAAAGGAATTTTAATTAATTGGATGTAAAAAGTATAAGTATGCTGGTAGTAACAAATGCTAAAAAATTGCTTTCAAAGGGGGAAAAGAGTAAGACGGTCTGTAAAACAAACATTTATAACATAAACATTCATAAAAGTGGTCTCCACTTAGAAGAAGTTTGAGAAATGCTGGTATAAATAATTTCTTGTTTGAGAAATGCTGGTATAAATAATTTCTTGTTGCATATAATATAGATTTCTTAAAACCTGTCATTGTGATATCTACTTTTACAAAATAAACGAAGATTTCCTTATTTGAGAAAAATGATAATCCTAAATGTACCATGGCAAATTGTTTCTTGTAAATGGTGAGTCCATAAGAGTCCTTATGCAGCCTTTATTTTTGAACGTTGGTCATAAATATATAAAAAAATGTTTTAAGTAAGGCAGATATTGATATTTTGCATTGCTAAAATTAAAAAGACTGTTTTGCAAAAATTCTCAAATCTGTCTTTTATATCCCTCTCTCCAAATCCCTGGTCTAAGTAATTGATATTTAGTAAAAATTTATGCTCATCCTAAAAAAACAAGAAATGGTTGGCTCCCATATGATGAAAATTAACCACAGTATTTAATCGAAATTTTTTAGGTCATGTTTTCTGAAAATTTAGGAGGTGTGCATAAATTAAAGAACAAAATACTTGACCCTTTTGCGACAGCGCACCTTTATTTGAAACGCTCGTGTGGAACGCAAGGGAATCGAAGGCAGTCACCATGCGGGACGGAGGTTTTGCATCACTAAGCCTAATTTTATTTTTAAAAAAAATCAGAAAAAAAAGTTTCACTTCTATCGTCATAATTTGTGGTATCATTTTAGATTAGACTCTTATATATGTTAAAATTAGCACTTAATAACGTTTATTTCTTTATATTACATGAAAATATACTTAAAAAATTTCTTATCTTGTAAAATAATTTTTGGAAGCACTATTCAAATTATTCCAAAGTTTTAATTGATGAAATCCATCAATAAAGTTTAAAATTAATAAAACAACACAATAAAGCCTATTTACAGTAAGAAGTAACAAAATTTAAAATGAAGACTGAGTGTGGTAAATCTTGAAGCATAGAGAAGTATCACTTTCTAACTCTTTAGAAAATGAATCATCACTCTCATCTGCATTAGTAAATGGTTCATTAACCATATAAGGGTATTCTTCCTCTGATAAATAGTGCCTTCCCGCCAGAATAGACCGGATGTGAGGCTTTCCGAAATAAAATGAGAAAAAACAGAAATATATCTGAAGGCAATACAAAATGTAACAGAACTCCACATAGTAACTCTAAAAGATCATACATACTAGAGGAAAAAATAGAATAAAAAAGGAATTGGATATAAATCAGACACGTGGATGTTTATAATAGCATGTGGCGATTTAAATAGCCCACCTCTGTTTACGCTTTCCCTCCCCCCACCCTTGCAACAGTTGATGAGTAAAATACCAAAGTCAGGCAGAATATATCAAACTCAATGTCAACCTAAAACTGTGTTCATTTCAAAAGTAATGGACTTAGGATGCCATCTAGTGGCCTTCAGAAAAATGTTCCAGCTTAAAATGTGTATACGCATCACCCGTCCTCTGAATGCAATCTCTAGTGATGTGTGGATGGAATGCCTGGCTGTAAGAGACATTCTTAGGGAATGCATATATGGGATGCCCGTCCTGAAAGGTTTAAATATATGTGCAGCTAAAGAATGAAATATCAATTTAAAAACTGATTTAACTTAACAGATTATTTGGTGAGTATTATGCAGAATCTTATGGAAAGTGTTGTTTGATTCCTCCTCCTTAAATGTAGAGATCTCATTCTTGGAATTTCATAATATATATGTTCTAGAAAACTTCAAGTATGGCACATAGCCAACTTGTAACACTATTTGCATAAATGAAAAGCTACACTCATGTCCATAAATTAAGGATAATGCAAAATCAGGCAAAGGAAGAGTTAGAAGCAAAACAAATTTGACTTATTTGTAAAGCTTATTTATTAAACAAAAGGTAAAGAGCAAAAAAAGACGCTATATGTTTGATGTTATTAAAAAAATTAGCGATTTTTTCTCCATTCAGCAAATTACAAAAAAAAAAAAAAAAAAAAAAAAAAAAAAAAAAAAAAAACCTACGTAGGTACCTGGAGCTCTCCATATGAAAGTCCGGCGAGAATCAGACTGCAAGCTAAACCTGGACTAGTCCGAAAACACCACACAAGCCCACTGTTGCGGTGTCCACAATGCATGCTCTCTACTCCAGGCTAACCGCAGGCGACAGTGAGTTGCAGTAAGTAGAACGCATCTGACAGGTTTACGAGCATATAGACCAATCTGCCGTAAGCGTCTATACACGGTCTGCCTTGAAATTGTCGTACCAGTGGCTGAAGAGAGCTGACGAGGCAGGTCTAAGGCTGTGCTCCGCCTGTTTCTTTTGGCAGTAACTGCCAAATATCGGTCCTCATTCGCCGTTGTGGGGCGACCTGTGTTGTAACGACTACTCGCATTACCATCATCTTGGAATCGTTGCCAAAGCCTGGAGATGACACTCTGGGCAATTCCAAGTTCGTATGATACTTCCAGTTGGGTATGCCACATTAAAAGATCATCCAAATGCGTCCTTTGTGTCATAACTATTCGGTTATTGCACTGAAATGTTTATAAAGCACCTGCGAACAATTTTACTTCTTTGCCTGTATTCCTTATATATCAGTGTCTTACACTCTCGTCATTGTGACGTACCATCGGTGTCATCTGGTTACTTCCTGAAATTTGCATATGATTCTTGAAGATGTGTGTAGTGATTTTACAGGTGATATATTTATTTTAGAGTTCGATTTCTGCGTGACTCCGAATTAACCTTAATTCATGGACATGAGTGTATTTATTGTCAAATTATTTTTTTGTATGACTATTAGCTTCTGATCCTGAAGTAACAAAACTGTGTGAGAACGTTGTTAACCCATTTTTAGCATTTGGAACTATATAAATTGCTTGTGTTAAAATTAATTTGGCATATTAAATGGCAAAAATATTATTTTGGCAAAATTATAAATTAAAAAATGTTAATCACAAAGCTAGTGAATCACACAGAAATATCACTGAATGTCATTAAGGGGGAAAAAATGAACCTGTAAATTCACTTTTGAAAATATAGATTATACAAAGTATCCCTCTTTTGGTTGCCGCAAGTCGTAGACGTTGGTCACTACTAAGGTTGGAAGTGGTGGTTACATTATTATGGAGGCACCTAATTAGGTGGGCCATTTTTGCCCTCTATGAAGGGATGGGCACTTACAACCATGCCTTCTCTGGTATTCAAACCCAGGCCCTTTGGTTTTGCAGTTGGCTCCCCTAACTGCTATACCATCTGGGCAGCTATTATACTAAGTATAAAAAGCTGTAAATTAACATTTATTTTTAGAAATTTATGGAAAAAATATTGCTATATAAATACGAGGGCCATCCAGGAAGTAGATTACGTTTCCGTCTGTGTCCGCTAGGGGCGGGGCTAGCGCGGCCATCTTGGGGTCAGAGCGTTGCGCAGCTCAGTCTGCATCTAGCCGTGCTAGTGAGAGGTTCGTGCTGTGCTCCGTTCAGATACTGTGACGGTTTGAAATGTCTGCGTTAATTGAAAATCCCGCGAGCTGCAAGGTGCGCTCAGTAATAAGGTTTCTGACTGCAAAAAACTGTAAACCGATAGAAATCTATCGGCAGCTTCGTGAAGTGTATGGGGACAACATTATCACTGAAGGTGGAGTGCGTCAGTGGGTCATAAGATTTCAAAATGGCCGAACCAATGTTCACGACGAAGATCGAAGTGGGAGACCCAGCATAGTGACCGCCGGACTTCTCGAAAAAGTCGATGCTAAAGTCCGTGAAAATCGAAATTTCACAATAACGGAACTTTCTTTGAGTTTTCCACAAAATTTCGCGAAGTTTGTTGCACGAAATCATCAGCGAAAAGCTTGGTTACCACAAGTTTTGTGCAAGATGGAAGGCAAGAAGAGGTAACGAAGTGGTTGAAGGCGCAGGCGGCCGAATTTTTCGACGAAGGAATTTCCAAGCTCGTACATCGCTACGATAAATGCCTTAATTTGTATGGTGACTATGTAGAAAAGTAGTATTTGAGTGTGGCTTTCATCTGTATATAATAAAATTTGTTTCCTATACTTTGTTTATTTTTTTATTCCAAAACGTAATCTACTTTCTGGATAGCCCTCGTACTTTTAAAAATGTGTATGGTGTGACTACGTACCTGTTGCACATAATATTAGAAAAGCTCGTGCATTTTTAACATATGCATGTTAATAGAAAGTTTTGCAAATAACCATGTTTTTATAACATTCTCCTCTCCTGGTAAATAACATTAAAACATTGTAAGTAGTTTTCTTAATAAGTGACTGAAAAGGAGAAGTTAAATCCCATTTTGTAGTAAGTCGGAGCCCAGGCGTTAACCAGTATTTTTTTTCGCATGTTGTTTCACTGCTCTTATTCTACAGCTCCACCCCAGTTTTGATGGAGAACACTACGAGGGGACAGATTCAGGGGTCTTCCATGTCTTTTTGCCTATTACTAAACCTCTTGAAATGATTTAGATGAGTATTTTGAGGACCCCAATGTTGCACAGATACTATATACTTCCAAGCTGTCTCCTAGATTTCACCTGGGACTAAGGTTATGGCAGCAGCATTAATAACCACTATACCAGTCAAGGTGTCCTTTTTAAAAAAATCTTTTTGTTGTCCTTGTATGTAAATAAAATGGAAGACAGAAAAAGGATGTCCACCACAGTCTTCTGTAGATACCATTGTGCAGATATTTTCAGGCTACAATAGTTGTATGTGTTGCTTATGGTGTAACTGATGTGAGTTTAGGATCATCCAAATAGGTGTTTTGGGAAGACCAACCAGTGATTGCTCATGGAGTATCTTCTTGATGACAAAGCACCACAATTTCTCTTCAGTTTCATTGGCACATACCATTTGTTGCCATAATAATTAAAGAAACCTGATTCACAGAATTTGCGATGCAGCAGTGCAAATGTCTGGTTGTTTGGAATTTGTTGAACAGGTAGCACTCGCAGTACAAGCATACTACGGCTCCTCCATCACAGTTGGCAGTTGTTCCATGTGCTAGATGCACATCACTCAATCCTGTATTTGTGAAACCTTCCATTGTACTACCTCAGTGAGCAAGTGTTAAATGAAAGTTTTCTTGAGTAGACATTTTACTGGTTTTAAATTACTTCGTCATATCACGATTGTATTTCATACCCTGTATTACTATCTGATCCTGATTTGTCTTTGAATAATCTATCCTCCCTAAAATTTGTACCAATTAACCCTTTATATTCTATCATGATGTTATGTAGAAATATGGCATCAGTGACAGGTATTTGCTTAACACTGTCTATCCCACCAGGGCTGAGCACTGAATTTCACTATATACTGGTAGTTTGACAAAGGCTAGAATCTCCTGGTTGCATTGATGTTTTTGAGTTTTCTCCCGTGTAATGTGACTATGAGGAAGTTCTCTTAGAAAGCCCTCCACAAAGGCATCCCTCCTCTTAGTAGGTAACCCTCATTTGCATTGCCATAATTCAGTAATCCAAACTAAACGTTTCCTAATTCAGTGGCACTTCAGTCTACTATTTGAAGCATTTCTTCAATTAGAGAAGATGTGCTTGTATTTATTTATTGTTGACAGTCTAGCCATATCATTATTGGTATAAAGTTGACGGGAAGTTGTTTTTTTTTCATAAAATTTACTTTCATCTTTTTTTCTTGCATCTGATTAATGGATGAAATTTCATCTGAGTTTTAAATATGCTAGCCTGTATAAAGGGAACTTTCACATGTCAAATTTCTGAAAAAGTAATGGACAGATTTTAATGAAATTTGTTATGAATATAAATTTATAACAAAGAGATTTATCATTCAAAAGTTATTTTATATATGCATGATTATCGGCAAAGCTCATAAAGCTGGGATGTTCAATATCCGTGTTATGATATTGAGCTGAAAAAGAGCTAATGTGGGGTATGGTCCTCTCATAGCCAGGCTAGTTGTGCAGGATGGTGGGGTGCTGGACAGGAGGCATTTGAAGAGTTTCTGCGCTTGGATCTCATAGTGCAGGGGTGCAAAATTCACGTTACAATATTGAACTGAAAAGGAGTCTAATGTGGGGTATGGTCCCTTCTCATAGCCAAATACGTCATGCAGTATGACAGCATATTAGACAGGAGGAAGTTGATCCCTGTGCAACAAAGCAAGGACAAGGCAGTTGATCCCACTTCTGCAGCATGGCCATTTTCAACTCTCAAATGATTCTCTGAGGAGGATGGTGGGATGAAATTGCCCTCTCCAAAGCATCCCAGACATACTGTATAGGGTTAAGGTCAGGAGATTGGCTGGCCAATCCGTGCAGCAAATATCATCACTCATCACTTTCCAGGTAATCATTGACCAGCTGAGCCTGAAAAGTCAAATATAGGGCTCTAAGTTCTCTTTTCTATACATCATAATCAAGGCTTTATCAAACACAAGCAGGGGTATGTTGCCTTCTAACATAATGCCTGCCCAAAGTAATTATCCTTTTCTCTGATGAGAAAGAGATGGTATCGTGTTCCAGGCTTTCTCCAGATAGAGGTATGCTGAGAATCAGTATCCAGGCTGAACCTCAACTCATCTGTAAAAAGTATGGTGCTCTACTGAAGTGTGGTCCAAGACATGCATTGTCCGCACCATTCTAAATGCTCTGTCTTGTGTGCTGTAGTAAGTGGGAAGTAAATAGTGTATCATCTGGCACAGTGCCCTATATCATGAAACCTTGAGGCAATTGTAGACCATGAAACTCGGGTTCCAGTGGCAGCATGCAGCTCACATGATAATGTGAAACTGCAGCAGTCCTGTGTCACCACACCTAAAATGCCAATAATGATACTTGTTTGTCATTGTGGATCCTGATGAACATTGTTCAGCTCTTGATATGGATCCAGTGTGTTGAAAATGTTTTCAAAAATTGCAGATGACACTGGGCAATACATTGAGCTCTGTAGCCACCTGTGCTTGCGATTGGCATCCCTTCAATCTGCCGATAATTCTCTATCTCATTCCATCATCCATATGTTCATGGCTACTCATTTTACCTGATACTTTATAAAATTTACCCAACGCTTGAGAGTAATGTCATGAAGAAGTGTGAGCACACAAATTGACAAAAGTCCCATGTATGTTTATATCCCTTCGATAATCTCAGCTGCACAGACACACCCATGCATACTTTCATTTTCAATTCTGAATATCTGCATAATTAATTGTTTTGGTTTAATACATTTTGTAAAAACAGATATAATTTGCAAATTCTCTCAATTCTTTGCACACAAATGTAGGAATTTATTATTTCTGTACTCGACTTTATAAGTATCAAAATGGCCTTTCATTAAATTTTAGATTCAGTGTTTAGAAAAAGAGAGATTGGAATATGAACAAACTTTAAGCAAACTGAAGGATAGCCAAAATCTTTTAAAACAAGAAGTTGTTGATCTCACAGCTCGACTGGCTGAAATGGAAAGCCTGCGGATTCAGTTAGAAAGGTATTTCAAAGCTGTTTCTGAATTTCAGTGTGTTTAAATGAATATTGCATATTTTTGATGCAATTTAATATAATGATGTGTGCTAGATGTGAATTAATTTTCCTGTTAGGTGTAAGATATTTGGTGTCAGTATTACATCTTTACTAATTATAATTTTATTAATTGACAGATGTATTGATGAGGAGAAAGTAAATGTAATGCTTCATGATTGATTATGCAATAATTCATGGTAACTTGTTTGTCTAAAGTGTGTTGTAAATTAAATTCAGTTTAGTTGTAGGCTCCTTGTTGTTGAAGGTCCACCAGCAACCGAATGGTAAAATCTCTGAACACTGGTAGTTCCTATCTGAGTTCTAGGTGAATGGCCTGGCCACAGAGCGTTTTCATGGTTTTCTTCATGTGTAAAGTGGGTACTAGTCATTTTCATTTAGAAAGTCCTTCACGAAGCAATCCCATATCTTAGGCAAATAGCCCTAGTGTGCTTTGTTATAATCAACTAAACCAACCTTTTTTTTTTTGGATGTTTGGAAATTCTTGGGTATAATCTTCTTTACAACTTTATTCTGCATTAATCATCCAGACAACTAATAGCTGTTATTCTGCTCAAAACATATTTTTCATTCATGCAGCCTTGCAAATAGCCAGTTTTCAGAGTATTGCCATTCAGCAAAGTGAAAAACTCTTCATTATCTTTCATATTAATTTGTCTAATTGTTTATCAAGGGTGTGATTTAAAAGCAGTAAACGCATTTTTCTATTATTTAAATCTTGCTTTATTAATATATCTTGAGTTTAAGATGATTTAATGTACAATATGTGCATATGTTGTAAATACTCATTAAAATAATTATTTTTAATGAGTATTTGCAACAATATTATAATTAACAAGACTTTTTGCTACTGTGTATAGTGAATTGCAAGAGAGAAAAAACTGATATACCAATCTAAAACAGCAGAGTTTCGATAATTCACAGCCACTTAATCTGCAGATGCCTGTAATCAATGCTCAATTTTAGATGCAACTAAACCAAACTTTTACTTTAAGAAAAGTTAGCATGATAAAGTTATCTGTACTTTTTCTTTTATGTGTACATGCAAATAAACATTTTAATAAAACCACATTGTAACACATTATCTTTGTAACGCATTCTTTTTCCACATTGTAACACATTCTTAACACAAACATTTTATATTATTGAAATTAATTAGCATTGCTTATTAGTTTTCTCTTTTTTATAGTAAATGCGGATTGGAAAGGCTTGCAGATTTTTCATTATAGCTAAATCATTACTTTTTGATACATATTCTGTAGTCTTTTTAAATTAATTTCAAGTTTACAGGGGTTATGTCAAGAATTTGTCTATGACTTTTCAGAAATTGTATTCTGACTTAACTTCTGCTCATAACTCATTTGGGTACATTCTGTACAAAGAGAAAGCATGTTTACTTCAGTAGCAAATAGGGATGCACTGTTGAAGATAGTACTTGTAAGAATATTTCTAATTTAAAAAAGGTGGGGACTTAAAAGGCAGAGAAATTTCTTTTAATGCATTCAAAATTTAAATTCTAAACATTTCTTAGAGTTATTAATCTGATTGAGTGTACACAGAATGTAAAGGCAGCTTTAGCAAAGGGATTCAAATCGGAGAAAACGTTATTACTGTGATTTTTGAAAATGGTTTATTGATTTATTGATATTTTTTATTCTAGTTAAGAGCTGAAAAAGTACTTAATTTCATTGGTAGGTATGCAGTTTTTTTAATGAAATTCTTAGGTACTTTTAAAAATTTTAAGGTTTTTTACATTAGCCTCAGATTTCTGTAGTTTATGTCTTTGCAGTGATTTCCCAGTGTACCGGTATTTTCTTTGTATTTAAAGTATTGAATATGAGAGTTTTATACTCAGTAAATTTTAATTGAGTAATAATCTGTGAATTTGTGTTAGTCAGTTTTGTTTTTAGTCAGTTTTGTTTTTAGTCAGTTTGTAGTTTTAGCTAGAATTTTTTTTTATTGCAAACAAACTAGATTTAATGTAAAAATTAAAAAAGGAACAGATACATATTAAACTCAGAAAACCATGACCTGTAATCCTTATATTCATTATTCCAAACAGACCTTGGTCTCGAGGTATATTGACTATTGGAATTCTACTATATTTACCAGGATTTCCATGGGAGTTTAGAACTTTGAGATATGATTGAGCATGAACCCTATAAGCTTGCAGAAGTAAGCAATAACACCATGCTTCTTGCTGGATAGATCACATTTCTGTTGTATTTTGAGAATGAGAATTTCTCTGTTCTGTAGCATATAGCACAGCATTCTAGTTATGTTTGATAATGCATGTGGCTTTGTCAAGGATTTTAAATTCCAATAAGCTTTCTTTCTTTTTGTTGTGTATTGTTTTTTTGCTTCTAATTTAACATATCTAGACATAATAGTGCATTTTCCTGTAGGTAAAAGCTAAATCTTTCAGAATGAACACAAGTCATGGATTAATAAACTGGTCAGAAATGATGTGTTTCAGAGATGTTTGTAAATGTAACAAGGGTCCTGTTGAATGCCAATTAAATAAAGCTTTTATAATGGAGCTAACGTTGTTTATAGGGTGAAATTGAGAGATCCATCATTTTTTAGGGGTTTTCTCCACACTTCGATTTTTCCATCTGTGAAAACAATCAGAAACATGATTTTACCAGACTGGGTAATTTGAGTTCAGTCATCAAGTGTGCAATGTTAGTATTTTCAAGCATAGATGAGTTGTGTAGCTTTATGTTGTGCATTCATAAGAGGTATTTGATTAGGGCTTTGTGTTTGAGCCCATAGTATGGAAGGAAAAGGATGCAGTGTTTGCATTAATATTTTTTTAGACCTTAACGATGAATTCCAATGTTTACATCTTCGAAACTGCTGGCCTTTAAAATTGAAACACCGTGAAGGAAAGCAAATGCAGAAAGATATAAAATGCAGAAAGTTGTGCATAAACAGTATGGCACGAAGAAAAGAATGATCAAATTTGTAAGCAGTCTAGGGGTTTACAGGGGTGTGAAATTAGTAGAAACAGCTGCCAGGCCTGAGCTAAAACGACCCTTACCTGGTTAGGCATGGAGTTGAACTGGGCTTGGATGACAGAAACGGATAACTCATTCCATCTGCTTCAAGCCTGTATCACACTTCATTAATCGTAGTAGCTGGGGAGGGGTGGCGGGTGAGTCTCTCGGCAACCCATAACCAGATGTTTTCAGTGGATGACAAATCTGGAGACAGTGCTGACCAAGGCAGCAGTCGAATACCCTGTGTATTAAGGAAGGTCAGAAAGCGATGTGCAACATGTGGTCTTGCATTATCTTGTTTAAGATGGCGTTTGCCATGCCTCAAAGATAGAGCGCAACCATTTGGCGTAAGATGTCAGGAATAAACCAATCTACGTTCAAGTTACCTTCGATCCAAACTAGAGATGTGCGTGTCGTGTACCTAGTGGCTTCTCAAGCCTTCACACCAGATGCACGGCCCTTATCCCGATACCGAATGCAAGCAGGCGGCGTGCGGTCACCTTGGAGCCTCCAGACACGTATTCGGCCATCAGAATACTGCTCGCAGAAATGGGACTAGTCTGAAAACACAATATTGTGCCACTCCTGTATCCAGCTTTGTTGTTCGGCACACCAGAATTACTGTCTCTCTCTATGCTGCATTGTCAAGGGAATCTGATGTAATGGTCACCGTGCTGATAGTCAACGCTGCTGCAAACATTAACGCACTCTGCGAGTGGATGCCAAGCATGCCCATTTCCTGACCAATGGTCCATGATGTGGTTGTGTGGTTTTTGAGGGCTGACCTCACAATATATCTGTCCTCTTGGGCATTAACATTCTACATGCTATTCAGTATGACCCTCAGCAAGCCATTGATTCTGTATTCGCATGACAGTGGTTGGACGTTGAGTCGTGTGATGGGCGATATTGGGGAATGATAATCCATTGTCTCGATAGACAACGATCCTGCGTCTATTGAATTCTGATGCTTGTTGGTAAGCATTTCTTCTTATTCGAGGCATAACACGATATTCTGAGCGAACTCTGAACTTTTTGTTTGTGCAGTGCTTCAGATGTCGTTTCTCCCTTCTGCATCGTCTAAATGCACTGAAACACTGATCATTTGAATATCTCAACCTCTTCTTCCTTTCATGTGATTTTGATATTCATCTGATCATTCCTTCTGGGTGTTGTGCATTTAATGGCCAGCAGTGTATGTGAAATGATACTTATTAATTTAATAATGGTGGTGATCAACCACTCTTTTGATCTACCACATTGTGACTCAAATTATTCTAATTTATTTTTTAACTGCCCCTGCAGGGAAAATGTTAATTTTTTTTGGCATTAATTGAAAAAAATCAATAAAGAATAAGAATAAAAGAAAATCTGTTAAGATCTTCCTTTCATGTGATTTTGATATTCATCTGATCATTCCTTCTGGGTGTTGCGCTTTTAATGGCCAGCAGTGCATGTAAAATGATACTTATTAATTTAATAATGGTGGTGATCAACCACTGTTTTGATCCACCAAATTATTCTAATTTATTTTGTGACTCAAATTGTTCTAATTTATTTTTTAACTGCCCCTGCAGAGAAAATGTTAAATTGTTTTTTTTTGGCATTGATTGAAAAAATCTGTAAAGAATAACAATTTGAAAACAGTATCAAACTCTGAAATTAAATGTCTTGATCGCATTTTATTGTATGGAAGTCACATTTTTTTAAAAGAATGATTATAAACTTTCACTAAGTACATTGGGGCATCATGTGAAATGTTTGATTTCATAATTTTTGGTGGATTTTTTGGAGGGTGGAAGGGCAAGTTAAAAAATATAACATGATTATTTGCTTCATTTAAAGCATTTTTGAAACAGGAAGTACATTCCTACAGTAAGTGGCTGTGTGAATAAAAGCCCCCTAAAAACTTTTAGGGATACACCATATATAATGTATACTATCATGCAGAACATTTTTCCTAGGAACTTATATGTATTTACTTTTTCTGTTTTGTCTTTTAAATATGGATTCCTTTTTGTTTTTGGTAGAGAGAGAGAAAAGTTAGCTGCTAGCTTACGAGAAGTAGAAAGGCTTCGCTTAATGAATGCTGAATTGCAAGCTGATATGGATGCATGTCATGCAAGGGAAGGAGAATTATTAGAATTTACCGAAAGGACTACAGCAAAAACTGTGAAATTGCAGTCTGACCAGTGCTTGTTGGAAATTAAAGTAAACATTTTGAAGTCAAACATATTCTGTAATTTATTTAGATTCCTCAGTGGCCCCCTTTTTTTAATGGCCATTAAAAAAATTAAATTTTAGTTAGTATGTCATAAATGTCCATTCATATTGAAAATACTTTTAAAGTTGAGTTTTTAAATTATTGTCAATAATCCTTAAAAAAAAAAAAAAAAAAAAAAAAAAAAAAAAAAGAAAGAAAACTTTCAACAAGCAGATTATTCAAAGTGTAAGATTTTCTGTATTGTTTCTTAAAATATTTTTTAAGAGGGAGCAGAATTCCTTTCATAATAATTATTTCTTTTAAGGAGGAAATTTAAGGAATATTTCTGTAGTTATGTTTTACCTTGATAAACTCACATCCTTAGAAGCCAGAGTTTTTAACGCTTTATGTTAATTTCATGGCCAAATTTTGTGATAAAACATGAGGAATTTAATTATGAATGCATTAAGTTAAGATTAGCTTTAATAAAACTTTTTTGCAACTTCTCATTTATTTGAGTGACATATTCATGTGGTTTTGTGAAAGGTATAACAGAAAAAGACAGACTGCTCTAAAAATTACAAAAATTTTTATTTTGAAGAAGCATTAGTTTTCAACAAAAGTCTGACGTCTTGTGTTGTATTTTTAGATGAGTATAAACTTTTGCTAACTATAATTACAGATAGTGGGGATTATATAAAAAAATAGATTTTGTAATGTTTGTACAGAATTGATATTTTGAATTTAAAAAGGACATAACCTGAAACTGTTCATTATTTAAAACATTTTAGTACATGCTTGGAAGTATGTGAGGAGTGATTGCAAAAATAAAGGACATTTGTGAACATGGTATATATTAAATATAGTAAACCATTGCTTTGCATCATTATGAGAGGGTTTTTTGGAACTTTTTAAACAAGAATGAAGCTTTTAGGACATTTGACTGTAGAAATAAAAAGTTTTGTTTCTATGGTAAAAACAAGTAATAGTATATCTTTGTAAAATCAGTGAATTATGAAATCTCGTTTTTATTATAGTCATCATCATGATGTAGCTATTCATATATGTACAATAACTCATTATTAGTTATTTTAAATAATACTAATAGAGCATTTAAAAAAAGACTGCACTGCTTATAACTTGAATGACTAGTTATAAGACTTAATGGTTTCAATTTGAGAAATGAATCAAATGATATAGGCTCTTAAAGTACAGTTTTGGTCATGAGAGACCTTTCATTAAAAATATTAGAAAATTTATCTATGGATCCCATAGAGGGAAAAAATTTAAGTAAGCAAAATTGTAAGAAAAAATCTATTCTCATATGATTAAAATCAGTAGTGTTATCTCTGATTATAAAGTATTTCCAAGCCATATAAAAGTACTGTTGGTGATAGCTACACATGTTAAGTGTTCAAATGCAGATTTCTGAAAGCTGCTGTTTTAAAAAGTAATAATTTAGCATTATTTGTGGAACAGCTGAACTTAAAAATTTAATGTTTACCAAAATCAGTTGCTATATGCCTCCCAAATCAATTTTCTTAGTCACGTTTTTTACCACCAGATATAAGTAGTTAAAGTCATATAATTTTAAGAATTTTTTCTTAGTCTGCTGTTATTGCAGATGAAATATTTTCTAAAGGATCTTTAGTAAGTTATGCAAAAACCTGCTATTTGGAACTTTCTTCGTAGAAAGCTTGTATAAAAGTTTTCATTTTTATATTATGAAAAGGTGTCACAATATCAAAATTATTATATTCTGAAAACATGCTATATTTGATTTATTTCTTAAATTTCAGTTGTAGGTATTGGTTAACCATTGAAGAGCTACTTATTCATGGTGTGTTTTTAAGCACCTTTTGCATGTTATTATTTTGTAATACATACTTTTACCTAGTGCAGTACAAAATCCGAGATCTGGATGTCTAATATACAGAATGATCTAAAATTAGGAGCTCAAAACCACCAACGAATTTTTAATTTTTTCCTATGCTTTATGCATGTGCATTTGATTCCTGTCTAGATTTGAAATGGAACAAGAAGTTAAGTCTGTCTAGAGAATTAAAGAGAAAGTATTATCACAAAAACAAAGCAACTTAAACAAATTACGTTGAAAGAAATGTTCAGAAATGTTTAATAACGTAAACAAATAAATATTAAGCTTTTTTTTTGTAATTTTGAAGCATTTATAATTTTATTTATAAATGTGTCATTATTTCCTCAATCACAATTTCATATTTCTAGTTTCATTATTTTTACATGCCATCTTACTAGATTTAAACTGAGCGACCTAATATCCCGAAAAATCACAAATTTGAAATCGCCGAAGTCCCAACGAGTCCGGATCTCGGACTACTGTAGTGTGATAGATATTTATCTCTAGTCTTAATTCCGAAAAATAGTTCCCATGAGTTATGAAGAAATGTGTTATATGTCATAGCATATCTCACTTGGTGGCTTTGTATGTGAAAAAATGTCAAAATTTAGTGTGAAACCACACTTCCTCATGGCTGACAAACTTCATGTATTACATAATTCACAGTCCATTTGTGTGTTCTGCAATCTCACGTTTTCTAAATGAGCATCCTTGTACCCATAGATTTCCCAGTGTTTGACTGTTGAAAAAATGGTGACATAATGTCTTAATAGCTAATTTTCCAAGTTAGCTTTGTAAAACTGATGATTTTGAGTCTTCGTGATAACCTCATGAAAAAATAAGGTGTATAATACAGTGTGTAGTTAATTATGTCCGAGTATTATTTATGCTTAGTACAGTAACTCTTCTAAAATTATTTCTAAGATGCCCTACAAATTTACAAAATTCCTTAAAATACATAAATAATCTACAAGTGGATTTGTAACAATGCAAAATAAAAATACCTTAAATTTTATAGTGGTAGAAAATAAATGTAAAAGATATTTAAACAAAGGGTTCCTAACAGATCAGTATAAACCCCCCTGCAAGTTGATAAAGTTTTAAATGGGTCGGTAGCCAAATATGTATCTGCAATTGATCCAGCATAATCAAGATTGTCATTTGATTGTCATTGAAATAAGGTGTTCATATAACACAGTGTGTAGTTAATCATGTCCAAGTATTATTTATGCTTAGTACAGTAACTCTTCTAAAATTATTTGTAAGATGCCCTACAAATTTATAAAATTCCTTAAAATACATAAATAATCTACAAGTGGATTTGTAACAATGCAAAATAAAAATACCTTAAATTTTATAGTGGCAGAAAATAAATGTAAAAGATATTTATACGAAGGGTTCCTAACAGATCAGTATAAACCCCCTCTGCAAGTTGATAAAGTTTTAAATGGGTCGGTAGCCGAATATGTATTGGCAATTGATCCAGCATAATCAAGATTGTCATTGATTACAAAATATTTATTAATGAAATTAATAAATATTTATATAAAGTTATGTCATGTAGAATGGAAGAAATCATAAAAAATAAATATTTTAACCCCAAATTATTATTTTTTAAATACATAAAGTTTTTAAGCAGTAATTGCAGTATAAAAAAGTAAAACTTAAGAAAGGGGGAAAAAATGTGAAGAAACCAAAACTATTTAACCACAGCAAAATGTACCTATATTCATTCAGCAGTGCTGACCATTTAAGTTGTTAACTTCAATTAGTTATGCTCAAATGCCAATTATATCATCAATATATAAATGTACCCTTTACATGTGACAAGAAAACTACAGGCTAACTGCTGCTTCCCCCTTTCCCACAATTATGATTGTTGTATGTTGTTTATTATAGAGAAAAATGTAAGGGGTCAATGAAGAAAACTGTTCTTTTGAAAATAATCAAAGCAAGAAAACAATTGGGAATCCTTAATTTATACTAATGTTTAAAAGATATTGCAATTTCAGTATTTAATGCTATGCCAGAAAATCATTAAGCCTTTATTTATGTGTATAGTTATATTTTTAAACTTATTTTTATGCTGTTCATGATAAAAAGTGCTGTTATGGAACTGTAGTAATATTCATGGAGGAAAAACTGTCTGCTGATTTGTGTGAAATTCAATTTCTATTCATTTACATATAGAATTTTTTTTTCTTCTCCATTGTAATACACTCTTTTCCATTTCCTTAGGCGCAAGCGTTAGAGGATGAACTGTCAGAAGTGAAAAAACAACTTTCAGATGTTCAGCAAAAATATCTCCAACTGGTTAGTTGAAATGTAAATAAAATTGGTGTTTGTAAAATAATTTGTTTAACATCTCGTCTTTGAGAATCAGTTTTTAGATTCTGGCCACTTTGAATTGTTACATGTGTTTTAAAACAATTTATTTTTCCTTTGGTGCTTTATATTTAGAAATAAGCATGTGTTCTGTGAATTTGTTAGGTATATAAATTGAAGTGCTTAGTAAAAATTACCTCTAATATTAATTTCTATGGGTTGCTGAGGCATAATGTACATTTCTTCTCATGTCCTGACATTTACGAATAGCATGCAGCCCACCAGTCCTTCACAACATTATGTCTGTTGGCAGGGATATTCTGAGCCAGCAGTTGAGGTATAGCTCTACTGGCTCTGTTTCATGCATACTGTGCACAAAGTTCTTTTGTGATGGTGGAGTGTGGTAGCCTCGGGCACACCATGTTTAGTAAAAGCAAGAGTTATGATAAGAAAATTTTGGTGACTGCTGCTGCCAAATGTCACCCAGGAGAAGCACAGGCGTCTTCATTACGGAAATCAGCATTTTTAGTAAAAATGGGTACCAATTTTCATCTTTTCAGTACATTCAAACAGTTTTAAGCTGCAGTTGGTGCCCACCAGAGGCCAAGCAATTAAGTCGATAAGCAATTATAGTTTAACCTGAATTTGATTCCAGGCAAATGAGCTGGCTGCATGAGTGACTTTCCCCTTGTGTGATATGAAAACAAGGCAATTTTCAGTAGAAAGTCCTCCACAAAGACATCTCTTTCCTTAGGCAGATAATGGTTTTCCTATATATAACACAGGTACAAGCCAGTTTCTCCTAGAAAGTCTTTTATGATTGCATTCCACCCCTTAGGCAGACGGCCCTTGCTTTGTCACAATCAACAAATCGAGCGAATAGACTGCAGTCGAGAGAATCTGTATTTTAAAGTGTGGTATGAATCATGAATCACAGTCCGTGTAAAAACATGAAATTTAGGTTCAAATTATATATTATAGCAGTACACAATATATTAAAATTTTTATATTATTTATTAGTTTATTAGTAAAATGTTATTCTTTGCAGTGACCATGAATCTGATTTGCAGGTGGTTTGAGTGATTATCTTGTTATAATAAGAATTTCAACAATAAAAACCATATACAGTCAAAAGTCTTTAATCCGGACTCTTCGGGACTTTGGCGATTCCGGATTATCGGTTTTTCCGGATTATAGATCATCAGTTTAAATCTCGTAAGATGGCATGCAGAAATTCTAAAATTAAAAATATGAAACCGTAATTTATGAAATAAAGAGCAATTATGATCTAAAGGGTATCAAAATTTACAAAAAATAAGCTTTATATTTATTTGTTTACTTTATTAAACATTTCTATCAACGCGCACATGCGTAAAGCATACATTACGCATAGTCGAAATTAGAAAATTGCAACCAGAGAAAACTATTTGATGTGTATTTGTGATATTTATAATGACGAGGAATTTGATTTAAATAATATCAAAGACGGAGTACATCGAGATGAAATACTACATTTATTAAGAAATTATAAGCCGAATAAAATAAAAACATCTGCTTTGAATATAAGGATAGTGCTGACAGATCAACTTCCAGTTCATTGTGAGCCGCGTACCCCCCTCCCCGTAGAGAGCAGCGTGAAATCTATAAACATATTTCGGAATGATTAGAGAATCAAAGGATATGCCTTTATCCATTTTTTGAAGCAATTCCACTTTTTGCTTGATGGACATCGAAACATGCTTTTGCTTTGTAGATCCTTTGGTAGCTCCAGAATCGGAAATTCTTTTTGACATAATCGAAAGTTCAAGCTTACTTTTATAAAATTGCTCTAACAGTCTGCAAAAAATAATAAGCTGGATCCAATTAGAAGTTTAAGGAACAATGCAATCTGCAACATTAATTGAAATAGATAATTGGATAATTTTAGCTTAGCTTATACCATCCGTTATACGTTAAACGCACATGCGTAAACATATTGTGCGCATGCGTAGATGCATATGCGCGTGCATAAAGGTATTATGCGCATGCATTAACGCATTATGTGTTGACGCATACGCAGAAGTTTTGTAGCTTTAAGGTCTGGATTATAGATCATTCTGCATTATGGACGTCCAGATTAAAGACTTTTGACTGTATATAGAGAGAGAGTGAGAAAAAGAGTATGCAAAATTATTTTTTTGATTAAGCAAGCAGTTGACTTTTAGGGAAATTTTTTAGAATCTGATTCCCCTCATGTTACCATTCAAAGCATTTTAATGCCAGATTTGAACATGAGTGAATGAAAATTATTCCACGTGTTTTGACGGTCTAAAAAAAGCTGTAACATTTCTCAGTTTTATTGGAGCTCTGTGATTAAGTCATGGGAGATTCCATTTTTTTAAGAAATGTCCTCACAAGAAAAGTAACTTAAGATCTTGAGAGTATGGCTCAGAGTTTTCAATGGAAATCATTCAGTTCTCTTGTAAAAAACATGCCAATGAAGATAAGCATTAATGATGTTTATTGTGTTTTTTTAAAAAATCTTGACAGAATGATGTAGATTTATTTTGTACTTGGTGAGATTACTGTGAACTAACTCTATGCTATTGTGAATACTTGAATATTATGTTTCTTTGAAATTATAAAATTATGTTCATGGAAAAAGGCTTCAGAAGTAGGCATATGGTTTAATTCTTCATCATGACAGTGCTAAGTGTTGTATATTAATTCTGGTATGGAAGTGTCTTTAAGATTACAAGAATTGTAGTGTGCCCTCATTCAGCTTATTCACTAGATCTCATTACTGTGTATTATTGGCTGTTCTGTAGAGTCAGAATGACTATGAAAAGTCAAACAAATCAACACAGGATATCAAAGCAATTACAGAAGACTTATGGAGGAAACTTCGAGAATTGCTTCAGAAAATGAAAATAATAATAATAATAATAATAATAATAATAATAATGGTATAAATGTATTTGAGGAAGGAAGGTATTTTGAGGGAATTAAAAGTGTGTCTTATGCAGTAATAAAATACACTTTTTTATTTAAATTTTCATTGTATTTTACCATGTTATAAAAAAGGATGCATGGCATTAATTAAGAAATTTATAAAATGTTATTTGTTATTATATGTTTCAGTAATTATTTTTATAAGCGTCTGTTGGATTTTGAATTTCATTGTAAAAGGTTTGATCACTTGAATCTAGTTTCTCATTTGTGTTAAAACAACCTAGGTTATCTGTGAGTTTCAAATAAGTATTGGGAAATTGTTATTATTGCAGCTTGGGATCCCTTTAGAATCAGGATTTTTCAGGGAGTGCACATGTTGCAAATATATTTGCTTTCCCATTTTTATCATCCCGTTAGGCAGATAGCAGTGCTTTTTTGTAATCAAATATATCAAACCAAACCCATTTATCAAGGAAGGATCTTCTTTTGCTTTTTAGTTCTCACTAAAAGTAGCCAATATGTGGCATACTTGATTGAAAATCTAACCATTAAGCAAAGAAGTTTCCTTGAGTGTTAAATGTGCTTCTGGGGGTAGATAAATTTGTTTGTATGAAGGAAGTGTTAATATATGAGAGCGACATATCTTGGTGGTGACAAAATCAGGGCACAGCCCCCTGTACCTGGTCTGTGAAACCCTATGATGCACGGGGAGCCAGCTCGTTCAACAACAAACGATATCAGCCACCGGTGTGGTCGTGCCCCAATCCAGGACACATTTATTAGGTAAAAGAAATTTAATACAATTAAAGATAATTAACAGTTTAATTAATTAAGCTCCAGGAATACCAGGTCCGGGCTCCGAGTAACAAAAACGTTAGTAAAACTAAACAGAACAAAATACGACCGATGAGAACACTTCTCAACGGACCTTTAGACATCACAAAAAGCGAAATTATAAAATAATAATAATAAATATGTTAAAAACTAAAAAACTAAAGACAGCACAGAAGCAAACATAAAACACGAAATCTTGATCCTCGCTCAAGTATGAATTCTAAGTTGCAACAATCCCAATATCGGTTCCATGAGAATTAGTAAGAGTCATGACTGCTTTGGCAAATTCGACACTTGTGTAATCCGAAACAAATCTGTAAGTTGTTTACTTCCATATTTTGGGGGAGGTATGTTATGTATTCATTTCAGACACTTCATAAATTAAAATTTTAAGTATTTTTGTAATTTTTTGGTTAGACATTGGAATTTGAAGCTACTCGAAAAGAACATGAAGAAGAAGTACTACTACTTGCTCGAAAACTTGCTGAACAAACAAAGAATGGTAATATGCATTTACTTCCTTAATCACGACAACATTTTCTTTTGTGATTCTAAATATTATTGCATTTAAATAACTAATAATGCCATCAATTAAAACTCTAGGTACGTTTGTGTTATGTTTAAATTGTGCATTGATATGTTATAAGTTGTTTCTTTGTGTAATGAGGAATTTCATGCTAACATTACACATTTAAATGGTACTGTGTTGAAAGTTTAAGTCTTTGATTTTGCTTAAGGTATAAATTTTAAACTGTTTAAAAAGATCATCTGCTGTTATTAAATGGTAAGCATAAATTTTAACATTCCATGTGCGTTTTACAGTTGGAAATTTGAATACAAGACTAGATGAGGCTGAGAACGAGAACAGAGTTTTGAAAAGAAGGCATATTACTAGTATAAAGGTAAATAAAATTGTTTTCAGCAAATTGTTTTATTAGTAGGCTTTGTTATTTTAAAGATTTGTAAAAGTTAAATGTTCAGTGCTTGAGCTGTGTTATTTGTGGAACAAATTAGTATTTTTAATTCTGCTATCAAGTAGTTGATTACTTATACATCTTATAGTATGTATTATTATGTGTAGTATGTCATATTAGCTTTTGGTTAAAATTAGCATCATAAAACTATCACTAAAATTATTATTAGTATTTCTCAAATTAAGATCACCTATTAGTTATGTAATAAAATAATATCTTAGTTTCTACTATTTTTCATCTGATTTTGATGGTCTGTAATTCTGTAGGACAATTAAGATTTATTAATTATGGAAAAAAATCTGTCTCAAAACAGAGGTGTTAGCAAACATGCTCAAACCATACTCAAGAGACACCCCATGATGCCAGCCTGTTCCTCTTCCAATAACTAAACTCATGGTAACTGCAATTTTTTTGGTATCTTAGCCAGTTGAACAGTGGTGTGCCACCCACAGATGATTAATGTAATACTTTGAATAGAGGTAAATACAATATGATAGAAATAACTGTTTATTGACTAAAATGATTAAATGCTTCAATGTGAACTCAAAAGTTTATCTCTGCAGTAGCTGTCCTGAAAGATGAAGTAGGGCAAATGAGTTGAAATTATTTCTCATGCATTCATTCTCTTTTGTCATCATTATTTCCTTCATAGCCATGGGCTCTGTCAGGCATGTTTTCTAGTGGTGGTCTTATATTCTGTATTGACAGAACCTCATTAAAAAGTGTTTTTGTTTCTAAAATTTTTTTTGCATTGTTATTATTTAGTTATTTGTTGATAATTTTCTTTGAATTTCCTCATGTTATTGTCTTTTGTTATGCCCTGTGATGTGTAAAAGTTCTAGGAATTCAAGTGAATACATTTCTTTTTATGAATTTTTCTTTTTTGTTTAAATTTTGGATATGGTGTAATTTCCTTCAAGTGATTTTTCTTGTTAGTTTACTATAAAATAGTAACTTTATATGTGTTCCTACCCTGTTGCAGTAATCAGTTTAACTGTATCTTAATAAATGTGATTACTAATACTCTGCTGCTTAATTAAATAACATTTATTTAAAAAGAATATTTTAAAATTTTCATTTAATTATTTCTCATGTTCATGTATAACATAGTATCGTTGAGCATTAAGTGAAACTTTTGTTAACTTGATTTTAAAACCCAAGCCAGATGCTTTAAACTGGTTGAAATGTAAGTTTAAGAATTTTTAATAAGTTTTCTGAAAAACTCTTAAGAAAAATGTTAAGAATATTTATGGAGCATTTTAACAAATCAAGTAATGGAAAAATATTCCTTACTTATATTAACACTGCTTTATTACTTAGTCTTACAATAATTTAGAATGTACTATTTTATTAGTTCGTCTGTTTTCCTCTTAGGAACTTTCACGTGAGTTATATCAGTGTAAAAAAAGATTAGAAAATTATGAGTCTAGCAATTGTATTCGATCTGATTCTGCCAGTTTGGGTTCAAGAACAAGCTCTACTGCATCTCTTGATATGGCTTCACATGAAAACAAAAGAAATTTTTCACCAGTTTCTCCATCTGTAACTTTCAGTAATACCAAAGGAACATCTGATAATCAAGTAAATATTTGTTACTTGTCAAGTTATATTTATGTCATTTCTGGTGAAATATGGAGAATGAATAAAAGAAATTCCAAACTGTTGCAATTTGCCATGAAAGCTTTTTTTCAGTATCCTTATGTAAATTACATTGCAGAAGTCTTATTTCTATCAAATTATGGAATGGCATTAAGCATAAATGTAAATGCAGAGTTGCACTGTATGCCTTTTGCTGCTGAGTTCATTAAAATTATTAAACTATAAAAATGTTTTATACAATAATTGATTTCATGAAACTAAATTTGGGACTGGATTTTGATTTACTGTGGAAAGGTAAAATTGACATTATGAAAATTTTTTTAAGATCAGTTCTCAGCAGAGCTCTTCAGCTGCACAAATATATCTGTGGTTTCTCTCATGTTTATCAGAAGCACAAACCTCCCTGTTCTAAAACATCCTTTACGGAAGTTTTTAAAGTAACTAATATATTAGAGATGAATAGTCAGCTAGCTGTGTGCCCAATTACTTCTTAAATTTCGATGGCCTGAAAATTTAATGAGATTCAGAAATTATTTGCAACATGTTATGTGTGTTGCTTTATTTAAAACCATGGTATGATTTATTTTTTATTGTAAGAGTTTAATCAAACTGCTGTTACTTGCACATAATTGCAGCATTTTGAAACAAAACAAAAACTGAAAACGAAATGAAAGTGACCCTTCTCTAGATTTTCGGTATTATAAAATTACAGATTAGAAAACTTCAAAGTTCACTGCCATGAAAGCAAACTATTGTAGACAAGTTACCTGTCTGTAACTGACTTTGTAAATTTAAAAATGTTTAGAAACACACTGGGACTGAAAGTTGAACCATTTCACTTTATTAATTATGATTTTATAGTGTAATAAATTTCAGGAATGCATTGGAGAAAGTGCTTAAGAAGCCTTCTGAAAGATTTATATTTATGTTGTATTTAAAAAAAAAATTAGAGTTCCTCCCTATATAATTTGTATGTTATAGTGTTGTGTTATACAATTGGGTAGTAATTTTATCTCAGGGTAAAATATAAAACTCAGAGGATGATGAGTGAAAGTCTGTATGGCTGCCACAACTTGATTAACACTGCTAATTTCATAATTTCAGTGTCAAAGATTTTACTAACATTTTTATGTGATGTGTATTGGAAATGAAGCAATAACCCATATAGCTAGTACAAAATTTAATTTACATCCTGTTATATGCCATGGGCACGAAGGCTTTATTTTTAACACCTTAGGTTGTAGGGATCTATTTCCAGTTACAGAAGTGTTTTAAACGAAGGAAAATATTGATGCTCTGGTATTTTTATATGTAAAAAATTTAATTTTTAAAAATTATCTCCATCCTGATTGTTGTATTTAGTAAAATATATATTCATTATGAAAAAGATATAAAACTGACTCCTATATAGCGGAAAAGGACTGGTATATTTAATTTTCAAGCATTCATATTCAGGGGTTGTGCACAAATTGCTGCATAAAATATTTGCATTTGTAAGTAATCAAAAATGAAGTATCAGTTTTAAAAAAACGTTTCCTGTATTAATATATGAAGTGATGAAAGTTTATTGGAAATGTTAATATGTTAGTTGAGAATAAAATTATTATAATGGATGTTATGAAGATCAGTGAAGTACGAGTTCAGTTAATAAAAGAATTGTGTAATATTTTTTCCTGTTATTAAATAACCTAATTTTAGTTTAATGAGGGCTTGATGATAATCTGTTAATCTGTTTTTATGATTGTATTTCATTTGATTTTTAAATTGAATTGTTATATTGTCATAATTGTCATTGAACTAAAGGTAGGGCTGTTAATTTTTGAGGATAGGTGTCAGGTATTTTTGCAAACATGTTTAAGCAGGCAGGCAAAAATAGTGTAACATCTCTGTTATTTTATACAGTTTGATCCTTTCAAGTAAAAAATTTTGGGGAAGTTACGGAAACCAACATTTTCTCATAAATGTTTGTGGTGCTGTGGTCTTTTGCATGAAAGTTATGTCAGAGAGCTACATAATGAACTTCATTATCCCAAATGTATGAAGTCATGTTTATGTATATTGTGCTGTCCAGTGTTTTTAAAATGTCTATGTTGTTTTTCTAATTTCAGTTTTCTTTTCTCCTGCTGTTTCATATGCATACAGCAGGAGAACTACATGATATTCTGAAGTTACTTAATGTCATTTCACACTAATTATATGTAGGGCATTTCACACTAAATTAGTGATACTGGAAATGTTTGCTCTTGATCTTTTTCTACCTTGCATAGTTTTCTGAGTAGGGTCACTAGTTATTATCACTAATAGCTATAATAGTATATTATTAGATATAACAGTTTATTAAATTGTTAGTTGATGTGTACTGAAAATTAACTTTTTTAAGTAATTATATATCTGGAGTAATGCTAAACCCAAATGTAATGTAATAAATTTTCCTGTAAAATATTTATATCCTTAAAATTTTAATTAGGATGCTTGTGTGAAGAAATTTGCATGTACATTGTTGTTCTTAACTCAACTTAAGAATAAAACATTTCAGGACTGCTATTGAAAAATTGAAATCAATGTAGGAAAATTATTGTAAAATGAACCATCAGCCACCCATGGTTTTCACATAAAAAGTAATTAAGTTTCTCATGCACACATATTGTGGAAGCTGAGATATGAAGATCACTTTTTAAATCAGTCAGTCCATTAGATATGAATTCAATCATCAGATAATTTTTTTTCTGGTGCAAGTTATGATTATACATATCTGTAATGGTATTTGCTAAAATTTTACATGTACCGTTAATGCATCATGTTGCTAATGTATATCATCCACCAGCGGCCGAGTGATAAAATGGCTGAACACTGATAGTTCAGTCTAAGGTTTGGATACTGCGATCTGGCTGGGTGCATGGGTGTTTTCATTATTTTTCCCATGTGTAACATTTATTCAAACCAGTTTCTCATGAAAGTCCTCTACGAAGGCATCTCTTTTCCTTAGGCAGATAGCATTTTGTGTAAAATTTTTTATGAATGAGTATGAGGTACGGGTGAGTAATGCGTGCATACAAAGGTATAGATAACCTTACCTAGAAAATTAGCAATCGAAATTAAGATAGGCATATAACATTAAGAATGAGATTTAATAAGGAGAGGTAATATAGATACATAATAATGGCTTAAGGAAGTGTACTGTTCCAACACACATACAAAGTTTACATGTCACGTTGAACGCACAAGACTGGAGTACTTTCACAGACGCACACAGACTTTAGTCATTACTCAGAACTGCTGGGCAAAAGTGTTCTCTTCCCATCAGCCTGTAGGGTTGCCAAACAAGTTTACTGTTTTTGTTTGCTGTTTTGCCAATTGGCACTTTTCTCCAGAGTTTTTGAGTCTGTATCGCTCTTTGGCACTGCCAGTACATACTCCATCCCCAGTGTCAACGAAATGTGACATACCAATGCGAAAGTTGGATTAATCGTCCAGAACGGGTGATACAAATGTCCGAAGGTTTTTTTACGGTCTTGGGAACAATTTGGGAAGAGTCCATGGTTAGAAAAGCAGGTTTCAGTCTATCTATGGAGATTGTTTGCTTAGTCCCTTTTATTTTGATATCAAACGTTTTGATACAAATGTATACAAACGGTGATACAAATGTCCGAAGGTTCTTTTACGGTCTTGGGAACAACTTGGGAAGAGTCCATGGTTAGAAAAGCAGAACGTCCAGAACGGGTGATACAAATGTCCGAAGGTTCTTTTACGGTCTTGGGAACAACTTGGGAAGAGTCCATGGTTAGAAAAGCAGGTTTCAGTCTATCTATGGAGATTGTTTGCTTAGTCCCTTTTATTTTGATATCAAACGTTTTGATACAAATGTATACAAACGGTGATACAAATGTCCGAAGGTTCTTTTACGGTCTTGGGAACAACTTTGGGAAGAGTCCATGGTTAGAAAAGCAGGTTTCAGTCTATCTATGGAGATTGTTTGCTTAGTCCCTTTTATTTTGATATCAAACGTTTTGATACAATGTATACAAACGGTGATACAAATGTCCGAAGGTTTCTTTAACGGTCTTGGGAACAACTTGGGAAGAGTCCATGGTTAGAAAAGCAGAACGTCCAGAACGGGTGATACAAATGTCCGAAGGTTCTTTTACAGTCTTGGGAACAACTTGGGAAGAGTCCATGGTTAGAAAAGCAGGTTTCAGTCTATCTATGGAGATTGTTTGCTTAGTCCCTTTTATTTTGATATCAAACGTTTTGATACAAATGTATACAAACGGTGATACAAATGTCCGAAGGTTCTTTTACGGTCTTGGGAACAACTTGGGAAGAGTCCATGGTTAGAAAAGCAGGTTTCAGTCTATCTATTGAGATTGTTTGCTTAGTCCCTTTTATTTTGATATCAAACGTTTTTGATATTGTTTGCTTAGTCCCTTTTATTTTGATATCAAACGTCCAGAATGGGTGATACAAATGTCCGAAGGTTCTTTTACGGTCTTGGGAACAACTTGGGAAGAGTCCATGGTTAGAAAAGCAGGTTTCAGTCTATCTATGGAGATTGTTTGCTTAGTCCCTTTTATTTTGATATCAAACGTTTTGATACAAATGTATACAAACGGTGATACAAATGTCCGAAGGTTCTTTTACGGTCTTGGGAACAACTTGGGAAGAGTCCATGGTTAGAAAAGCAGAACGTCCAGAACAAGTGATACAAATGTCCAAAAGTTCTTTTACGGTCTTGGGAACAACTTGGGAAGAGTCCATGGTTAGAAAAGCAGGTTTCAGTCTATCTATGGAGATTGTTTGCTTAGTCCCTTTTATTTTAATATCAAACGTTTTGATACAAATGTATACAAACGGTGATACAAATGTTCGAAGGTTCTTTTACGGTCTTGGGAACAACTTGGGAAGAGTCCATGGTTAGAAAAGCAGGTTTCAGTCTATCTATGGAGATTGTTTGCTTAGTCCCTTTTATTTTGATATCAAACGTT